ATTATGATATATTCAACAGTAAGAGATGATAGTAAAAGGCATCTTTATGAATATATAGTTTGGACATCATTGTAATAATTTAACTGTTCTAAGTATTAGCTGATGATTTTTGCTTTATCATGAAAGATACAAAACAATTTTTGAGTTTCGATTACTTCATGCTTATGTAATGTTTCCAGATTAAGAGTTTTAAGTCGATCTACATATTATTAACCTAATAAACAACTTCTATTCATCTAATTTTTCCAGCGAATTTAAAAAATAGTTCATAATGATAGTATTGAGTATATTAAAAAAAAAGATGATAATTTTGTAATCACGAATAATTCAGTAAAAAGTTCTCGTATTCTCAATTGAATGAAGTGTAATCAAATGATCATATTAACTTCAATACTTACGCAGATTTAATTCACTCGTTTCATGTTGGCTTTATCTGCTGATATCGGTAGCTTTCGTCTATAGCCTCAGCTGAGTGTGAGAAAAAAATATTCTATCATTCTTATTTGAAAGTAGACAATATTCATTGCCGAGTGAGATAGTTTTATTTTTTCATACTATTTGTCACATGAAGGCGTGAGTTATGTTTCAAAACAGGTGATGATTGTCAAGCATTTGTAAAACTAAAATTTTGTTTCTTGTCGTTTTTTTTTCATCTTATTTACATTTCGAATATCAACTGATCACTTTTCAATGAAAATTTCTTTACCATGAATCTGATTCAAAACTTCAGTTTTAAATTATATTTCAATCTAAGATTGATTGATGATAAATAGAATAGCTTCAATTATTGTATATCTATTCACCTATCTTCATCTTTAATTCTTGTATTTAGTAACATAGGTGAAACAATAATTTTCACATATCCAGTTGACCTGAACAGCTTGTTTATTTATGTGATCAATCTGTTTCCGAAAGAGATAACTATTACATTAGAAAAAGTGGCCGTCACAATTATCTAGCTGACAGATAGTTTTATTATGTTGTGTGTAATTCTCAAAAACTACATGAGCTAGAATAATCTGGTTTTCGTCAGACCACAGCTCATAGCCTTTAGTATAATGTCAAAGAATTCTAGGTCAATTCATTGGTATTTTTTAGTTTTTATTGATATTACAATCGCAACATGTCATTTTTCATTCTTTCAAAACTATCGAACTACTTTTGTTTCTTTTTGAGTATAGGTTTAAGAATAACGTTTGTTTGACATGTGAGGAAAATTTCCAACAACAAGAAGACAAAAACACATTTTTTTCATATGTTCGTTCAGTCAATTTATTGTTCAATATTGCATCTTCTAAGTATACACCAATGACACATAGATCTTTTTTCACGGTCTCATTCAGACATTGAAGGAGATATAAAAAATTGCTTTAACAGTGTGGATTTGTAAGGAATCTCAGCAAAAGACGGGATATGCATCTTACCAAATAAAGATGTACCAAATAAAACTTAGCATAGCGCGTACCATAAGCTATTTGCTCCAACTATTTATAACTTAAGCGATGTATAATCGGTTTTAATTTCAAATATGAGAGTTGTGCACGAAAAAAGATTCTCTAGGAATCTACTCTTTTAAAACAATCTTTTATTATTTCTTCAATGCCTGAATGAGACCGTAGAAGAAGACTGATCTGTCATTAGTGTAAACTTAGGAGACGACCAGCACAAGTTTCCAAGATGAAATATCCATTCAACGTGAATATCTCATGGGATTTGTAGTGCTCTTGATAATGCTATGTTGAACAATAAAGTTCACTAGACACCATATGAAAAAAGATGTTTTTTTGCCGACTTGTTGTTGAAAATTCCCAGTACAGATCAAACAAACGTTATTCTTAAGCCCATACTCAAAAAGAAACAAAAGTAGCTTGATAATTTTGAAAGCATGAAAAATGACATGTTGCGACTTTATCTTCAATAAAAATAAAACATATTAATGGATGCATGTGGAAATTTTTACTAGTACACCAGATACTATGGACTATTATCTGATGAAAACCAGATCATTCTAGCTCATATAGTTTTTGAGTTATACACAAAATATAATAAAATTATCTACTGGTTACATAACTTTGACAGCCACTGTATATGATTTATTATAAAAGACAGAAAAACACAGGCGAAACAGCAAATATTAGAAAGTCTAGTCAAAAATACTTTCCCTTTGCCAAGGGAAGGATGGATACAATTTGTGTGTAGTGAACAATAATATCACATCATCATATTTTAGCACTTAGTTTTGTAGTATGGTGTAAAAAAAATAAGAACCGACGCATTATTAAAGATTGTAAAGACAAGAAATAACTGATGAAAATCAGGACAAATGCCAAGATTTTTGTACACATGCAGTAATAAGTGAGATGAATACCACTTCATTGAATATAACACTCTTGTTACATCATTTATTTAAAAAGTTTGCAACATGTTTGTGCTACATTATTCAAATGGTAACTGTTCATTATTACACCACAGTTGATAATGTGTTCTTCTTTCTTGCTTTCATCTGAGTATATAAATATTCTCCATCAATTATTATCGAAGGTAATAAATCATTTATAATTCAAATACATAAGAATTGTGCAGTAATTGTGATGGAAGTTGTCGTTTAATTTTAATATCATGTTAATAGCAATATTTGTACACGTTTATGATTATTGATCGAAAAGATCTTAATCGTTTTAATATTGCTTTGAAATCGATGAAATTTTTCATCGTTAAACTTAATTTTACCGACGATGTTTTATACCTTTGTTGATATCATCATAAAGTTAAAATTGCCGCTACATTGAAAAACTGTTAATAGTGATTTAGAAAAGATTATTGTCGTACCACCATTTGTTCATCTGAAAAACCTTTTAACAATTTCAACAGCTAAAATTGATGATCCTTATCGAGTTGTATCCAATTTGTGTTGTTTATTTTTATCAAAGATGTACATATCATGTATTCGAATAGAAACTAGATCGAAATCATGATTGAAGTTTAACCTAAAAACGATGTCAAATGTTAGATCTTGGTTTAGAAGATTTGAAAGGTTTTCTCATTCATTCTGACAAGGCTTAAAGAAAAACTATTTAAAAAAAATTTTGAATTACAATCACTCAAATATGCACTTTCATTATATATACAGAAACAACTGATTCATTAAATAAAACATTTGTTACAAAAGAATTCGAACAATATTTTGGTGAAGTATGAATTCAGGTTGATTTATATAGAAATTCGAGTACTGGTGAAAATAAAGTTTCTGTAAAAGGTATTTAAAGTAAATATTTTAAAAACTTATCAATTGTGATGATTTAGTTGTAACTATAGATGGTCTTAACTGGCGTACAATTGGAATGTTCTGTCTATACGTTGAATTAGTTATGTATAGTCTTCATTGAAATGACTAAAAAACGAAAACATACAATTAAAACAAAGAGTAATACATGGATACTCGAATATAATGAAACATGTCATTTGTAAGTTATTTATTTTGAATGAATAAAAATTGCAATAAAATATTTGTCTTAGTCTTTTGGGCAATGAAGAAGAACCTGATTGCTAAGAATTGAATGTTGCAGTAAAAGATTATTCATTTATGCGTGAAGATCGTATAATTGGATTAAATGTTATAGAATTGACACAAATTTGTTAACAAGATCCATGATCATTGTAGATTTCACTTAATTCGCGTATTAATTTTGACGATACAGGTTGCACCATATTAAGAGTACTATCACATAGAACGAATGATAAATCAGGAAGAAGGTATAAGAAAGATGTGTGATTTACATTATGTCATTTTTTACGTAAAACTATTTTCAATATATATTTTGGTGTATTGACGATATCTTTGTTTACTCTTTTTTTTTTATAATACCATTCTCTAACAATTTGTGCTTTTTTACCCTATGTTCTTTATTCTTATTTTTCGCATGTTTTTTTTCGAAATACGTTATAAACAAGGAATAAATCTGTGGAAAATATAATTTTCGAATATTCGGTCTAAGATAATTTAGAAAGCTATATTTTTAAAATTAACTTCTAAGTTAGCTAAATAATTTCCCAACAACTATGATATCTTATAAATACTTCTAATTTGAAATGTCATGATAATGTTAGATTTTCAACTTTCATTTTTAGGTAAGTACAAAAAAAGACGCTTCTTGATGGTCATCGGATAATAAATCCAGTTAGTGTTCATGAAACTATGCATTGATTTATATGTGGAAGACATTGTTGAATGAGTTTTCAACGTAGAATATTAACTTTGTTAATAAGAATAATTGTTGCCCAATGTGTGATTGATAATATATAATCTTTTTTCGTATTGAACCAAAATTTCGACACTTATTTAAATTGATTTTATATTTTGTTACCATTCATAATCATTTTGATGCTCTTAAACGATCCTTAATAAAGATTTTAATTTCTTTTATCGATATTTCAGCGTCGAGCAACAAAACTTATGATCCACCATTATTTATTTGTTTTACACTTAAAATTACTTCTTTATCTAAAGATTTTAAATTCTATCTATATGTTACTTTTTCATTTGTACAACTAGCTTTCAACACATGTTGCCTCAATCATAGATATTACCCTTGTCTTTCTTAAAACAGTCAATGTTTAGTGTATTAAAACCGATTGGCTGTTCATAATCAAGTTTTCGTTAAGGGCAGTCATCATTTTACAACTATCTGCAACAATTCTCCATCTGCACCTTTAGAACAATCCAATTTTTCGATTGATCTTAGCCGTTACTATTTTCTTTTTACTCCGAAGAACTGTCGGCTGTTGTTATTATTACTTAACTGACCTGTGTCAACATTGTCGATGCATGTGAAGAATGTTTTTTTTCGACTGTTCTGCAAGAAAAAAGCGAACAAAAACTTCAATCGAGAGTGAATTTAAGCCAAACACATGGAGCGTCCTCTATTGTTTCCCAGTTAGAAGAAAAACAAAGGGAAGAATAAGCGTGAAGTTTCTTTTCCAAGTATCTTTGATCAATTCAAATGGCAGCCAGTAAAAATCAATCGACTAAGATATCAAGTCCAGCAAAATCTGTCGATCAGTCGATAAATTCTAATCTTGAGTCGTTTGCATGTTTGTGGCTCGATCAAAATGTTAATTCAACAGAAGATAATATCCAAACTCAGAAAGAACTTCGTCAAGTCATCAATCATCTTCGAACATTTGATAATAGTGATCAATGTGAACAATATATTCGACAAATTACAAAAGAAAAAGTCGTTCTTATTGTCTCAGGTTCGTTAGGTCGACAATGTGTACCACGACTTCATGATCTTCCACAATTTTCTGCATGTTATGTCTTTTGTCAAGATCGAAAAGCAAACGAACAATGGGCTAATAAATATCACAAGGTTAATTATTTTATGATGATTAGATTCATTGTTTTTCACCAAAATATTTCAGGTTATTGGTGTCTTTGTTGAACGTGCAAAGCTTGTAGCTCAAATATCCAAAGATCAAATCGGTCGGAGTAAAGTGGAAGAGGGTGCTTCAATATCGGTAATTACTTCTGGTTCTCAATCTCTTCAGGCTCGTAATGCTATATTTATGTGGTTCCAATTGTTTATTGAAGTTCTTCTTCGAATGCATCACAAATCTAATGATCGCAAGGAAATTTTGGAAATTTGCAAGAACAATTATAAAGGTAATCAGCAAGAGATGAAAATCATCGATGAATTTGAAAAGACTTATAAAGCAGAAAATGCCATATGGTGGTATACAAGAGAATCATGTTTCTATCGAATGTTGAATAAAGCATTACGTGTACAAGATTTTGATATTTTATTTGCTCTTCGATTCTTTATTACTGATATCGCCAAACATATCAAAAGTGAATATGAAAAATTTATTCGTACTGGTGACAATCGAAATATTATTCGTGTTTATCGTGGTCAAATAATTGGAAATGATGAACTTGAACTAATGAAGAATAGCATTGGTGAATATCTTTCAATGAATTCTTTTTTATCAACAAGTCGTAATCGATCGACTGCTCTTCACTTTACTGGACTTACTTCTGAAGCTGATAATGTTCAACAAATATTATTCGAAATTGAAATTGACCCGCATTTACAAACGAAAGCTTTTGCTGACATTAGTCAAATCAGTTATTTTCAAAGTGAAGGTGAAGTATTGATTATGCTTGGTGCATTGTTTCGAATTGAAAAAGTAAATGAAGATAAAAAGAAAGGAATATGGATGGCTCGTGTGTCGTTAGCAAGTGAAGATGATTATCATTTGAAAGAAACATTTTCTTACATGAAAAACACAATTGGAGATGACACTGATTTAGACTCTCTCGGAAAAATTCTATTCGAGATGGGTGAGTACAAACAAGCAGGAAAATGTTACAGAAGAATGTTGGATGAGGGTCAACTTGTTTGTGGAAACGCAGCATTAGGTTTAGGTAAAGTCTGTCTTCGATGTGACGAAGCTGACAAAAGTCTTGAACATTTTGAACAAGCATTACATATACGACAAAATCTTTTGGGAGAAGATCATGCAGATGTTGGAGAATGTTATAATTGGATCGGGGGTCTACACTGGTACGTGCGAGAAGATTATGATCAAGCGTTGTCGAATCTTAAAAAAGCAGTTGAAATCCAAGAAGCAGCACTTCCATCCGATTCTCTTTCTCTCGCTATGACTTATCACAATATAGCGACAACGTACCATTACCTAGAGCAATATGACTTGAGTCTAGAATTTTATAGCAAAGCTCTCAAGATTCGACAAAAAGTCTTACCTAGCAATCACTCACAGATTGCTTCAACCTGTAATAATTTAGGAACATTATATGAAAGTAAAGGAAACTACTCAAAAGCACTAGAATACTATGAAAAATCAATCGATATTAAGCGCAAAATTCTACCACCTACTCATGACGATGTTATGATGACCGAAAACAATATTCGTCGATTGAAAGATAAGATGAAAAGCTAGTTTGATATTCAATTGAAGAAGTATAATCTTGTATTCATTTATGTTAGTATGATATTCACGTGCGATTTTTCATTGTTCACTTTCTATTTCTACAATAAAAAACACCATGTTTGACAATAAAGTTGAAATAGTGATTGCATTAGGTTGACCTTTTTCTATATAATTGTTTTGAAATTATATTTTTTTGTACTTTTCTCAACCGTTTCTATGAAATATTAAATAAAATTTGATAACTTGCAGTTTGATTGCTCGACTACTTCACAAAATCATAAAAGCAACTATGATGCACACATGATGATGATGGTGCTCTTGATATGATCTACAGCGTTTGAACAGTTGTCGAGTTTTCAACTTCTAACATGGCGAAATATATTATGATTGTTGATGTCAGCATACTTGAAAAAGAAATATATCCATTAAGATTCAGTCCATGCAATAATAGTTTAGATTTCAAACTGAACATAAACACTCAGAATCGATTACATGTGATGAACAGCACAAATTTGAAAATTAGTTTGGATCATTTGAAATACTTGAATACACGTTTAGAAATGAGCGAATCAGCAAATTCTAAAAGAAAACATTATATAGAATGAGAAATGCGTTGAATATTCACAGATAATTTCTGAGAAAACAAGTAAAATGCATTGGAGGTCCATACAAGTTGTTTTTCCTTTTTAATGCGAGAGCACTACAAAGTGTAAAAGAAAAAATTTATCGTACGTTTTGAAAATTCTTACCCAATATTTCACTTCACTTCTCATCTCCAATACTAGAAAAAGCCATTATAAAAATAGAGGTACTCATGAATATACTTCACTGTTAATAATTTTCTATTTTTGTTTTCTAAAACTAAACACATCTAGCTTTTGTTTGCTTCTTCATGATCTATTCACGTTTCAATCATGTTTGAATCGATTTGCACGTATACACACATGTTCCTAACGGAAAACCATTGTCTATTCAACAAGTTTTAGTGAGCTCCTTTCTTTTATCTTTTTAGCAAGATAAAATAACGTAGTTTGTTGAAAAAACTCCTTATATCTGAGTTAAACAATAATAAAACTATTTGACTAAGAACAACATAATTTTTCTTTGTTTTCACTCTCTTTCATGACGAAAACTTCTTTGGAAAGTATTCAATGCAGAAACTTTACACACTTGATGAAGCAAGCTTTCATTGTAGGTAGAATTTTTGATTGTGAGTTTTGCTTTCTAATTATATTTTCATTTATAATATATTCTTCAAAACATCACAGATTCAGTTTTTTGAAGTTGATAAAGTCTGATATTCGTGTTATAGTTAATACAACAATTTAGCTTTTTTCAACTATTGATGTGCATGATACAATTTGAAATATATATCAATAAAAAATCACCACGAAGTTCTATTAAAATGAAGCACTAAGGTATGTTGTTTGGAACAGAGAAAAAGCAGAATTTGCTGAAGTTAACGCCGATTAATCGATTGAAAAAGATTCTACTCAGTATGGAATTATCTAATCGTTAAGAGTGTGTACGTGCTTATATATTGAAGACATATAAATAACATTTTTGTAGTTCGAATCATCATTTTATGCCTGTGCACTGTGACGAACCCGAAGTGAAGGTTAGGTCAGAAATGTGATTTTTAACCGGATGTTCTTTTTTGATAGATTCATGTGTATATGAGATAAGCTATACCGAAGCTGTTACAATAAAAAAGGAGAAAAATAAAACTTAAATTAAACTGGTCGAATATCAAGAAAATGAACTACAGAACTGACACAAGACTTTTTTTAAATATTATAATAGATTAAACTTTTGAAGTAAAGGAAATAAGTCGACATTGATAAAAGTTTTTAGGCTGATTTGTAATGAGTTTTTTTATTTTCGTTTTTTTTTTCGAAATAAAGTTGACATTGCATTTTTAATGTATGTTTTGAATCTTCTTAAAAAGTGATAAATAGAAATTATTTGCTATGAAAAATTTCATTGTTGATGCCTTGAAGTATTGCAATTCACACTAATTAACTAAATAATTTCTTTTACCCCGTTACATCAATTCCACAGTAGGATTCCTTTCGAAGGCAAAATAGTATAAACTATGATTTTTTTCTGTGTACGTGTATTTTAAAAGACTTCCGCTTATATCCAAAATAGCGAAAAGCTCGAAATTTCGAAATGAAATGAGAGTAAAAATTTCATTTCTTAACATATTCAACATGTTCTATTTTTGATATCTAATCAAAATGGGTATTAAAGTAATGTCTCTAAAAATGTATTACAAATAATTAGATCTCTTTGAGGGTGTTAACGTAACTATTAATAAGCTTTCCAATCATGGTGATAAAATGTTTGTGGAATATGTATTAAACTCTGAATATTTTAGCATTTTCGAGCTCTTCAGCAGTTACACAACCATTTCTTTCCACATACGTTTTAAAGGTCAAAGGGTTATGTTTTTGACCACACCGGTTCTCCTTATGTCGGCATTAAATATATTTCTTATGAAATAATAAAAATATTCAATACTTTGTGAAAACAACTTTAATTTGAACTATATTTGATTTCAATCATATACAGCTTAAAAATAACCAAAGTCATTGTGGTTAGTAAGTCAAAACTCATTGAATAATGTTTTCTTTTTTTTTTTTTATATTGAAAGAGAATCAACGAAAACGTAAAAAAAGAAATAGATTAAAATTGAACTCGCAAGCAAAGAAAAAAAAATTAACTTTTGTATTATTCCACTGTATTATGTATTTTGTCGATTTTCGATTGTTTTCGATTTGACGAGTTTTGGGTATTTGATGAAAAAACTGATTTACGTTTAAGTGTAACTGATAATGAAGAATCTTTCGTATTGAAAGGAATATTATCTTGTTGCATGAAAACCGTTTCAATGGACGTTGAATCTTCTAATGGTGCTGTTTCAACAAACGATGATTTTTCTATTTGTATATCAGTAGATTGTTGAACGAGACCTAATGTATTAAATAATTGTTTTTCTTTACCAGACGATGTTACTGTTGGTTGCAACTCATCAGGAACTGTTACATTGCTCGGAACATAAGTCGATGGAGATGGTGATGTTTGATGAGAATTTGAATTGGGACTATCGAGATCATAAGGACGGAATAGTTTTAATTTTGGTTTAGAAAGTTGTGATGATTGCTAATATAGAGAATAATTAAAATTTGTTTTTTTTTTGTATAGAATAAAAATATACCTCAGATAATTTTTTATCAGTATTTTCTGGTATTGGTATGCTGAAAAATAAAATGAATTTATTCGTTTGTTTTTTTCGTATGTGATAAAGATAAATCTTGCCGTGGTGTTGTATCAGCTGCTTTGATATTTGGCAATAAAAATGGGGCTGGTTGTGGTAGTCTTGTTTGTTGTGTAAGTAATTGTAAATATGCAGGTGGATGGAGGAGACTAGATAAATGAGGTGCCATAAATCGATAAGGATCAGTGACATCAAGACGCCTGTTAATACATAAATAGTTTTAATCAATCGAATATTTTTTCTTTATTCACCTGTTCAATATAGGTAAATTTATGTTAGGACCATTTGATCCACTATAGACTCGTAGATAACGTCGTCGCATATCTTCTCTTCTTTCAGCCTATAATCGAAAAATTTCAAATACTTTTGAAGAAAACAAAGCAACAACAAATACTTCATGAATATATTGTGTATATAATCGTAATGTTTGTTCAGGTGACATTGAATTATTTACATGAAATGGAATCATTCGATTAGGAAAATCTGTTGATGATTGAACAAGATTAGAACTTCCAATATTATTTGCATCTACTAAAGAAAGAGAATAAAATTTATTATAGAGTAACATAATAATTTACTATTTTTATTTTTTTCTTCTACATGTTCAGCAAGTCGTTTAAGTGCATCAGCAAAACTATTTGTAGTTGTTGGTTTAAGACCAGAAAATGATGGACTTGATGATGTTGACCAACTAAATGACATCTAAAATGATTAGATTATTATATTTCTATGTATTATAATGATGATTGTGATCAGCTGATTTTCTTTATCGACATCAATTATAGATTATGTAATTTTCGTTTGTTGATGATTTAGTTCTACTTACCTTTCTTCCGCACATATTTCGTGAGATACACTGTTCTGCGTCAAGTTTAAATGTCGGACGTGGTATGTGTGTTAATGAGCGTAAGAGGTGAATGGGAAAAGGGCATCACGACACTCAAGTTCTGTTTGTCGATAGAGAAGCAACAGGGCAACGAACAAAACTATTTCTCTAGTATGTATATATATATATATCACTGTACCTATTTTTTTATGCTATAGAATAATATCGAGAAAAAGACAGTACAAAAAAAAAACGAAAAGAGTCGTTCGTGTTCTTCTTCTTAGACATCAAATAACGAATTTAAAGTTAAAAATTAAAATATTTATATATGCATATATTATCTCGAGAATTAAATACTAGTCTCATAAGTAATGATTCTTATATAGATTGAAAGAGAACTATATAGTCTTGAAATTGATTCATATGTAGAGACACGCGTCATCGCAATAAACCAAAAAGAATAACGTGCAAAGTGTGGCATTCTGTTGATTTTTGCCATCTTGTCGATATATGTGCTATCACCGATCACACATACTGACCGTGCAGTGTATCGATTAGACGGATAGAAGGCGACAGAGGCAAGAATTGAGAACAAGAAAGGGTAGAGAGAGAGAGAGAATGCAGTCAAAAGCTAGTTCTACACGTTGAAGACGCCAACAAAAAAAAAGAGCGAGTCGAGAACCCTAAAATTGTTTCAAGACAATCTACGCATCACACCTGGCTTGGACAAAACAAAAGAGAACTAAATATGTTTGATCTCATGTCCGATGCCAGATGTTACTTACTCTTATTCAAGCAGTAGTTGTATTCTATTGAACATACACATACTTACGTTTTTATATAGAATATGTGTGAAACGGAAATAGGCATCTTCTTGTTTAAGAAGACTTTTTTTCAAGTGTCTTTCCACACTTGACAAGAAAGCGCAAGCATACACTCACTGCCGAAACGATTTAATGCATCATCAATATTTCACGCACACGTACACATATAATAAAAAAAAAGAGTGCGAGCAATGAACGCTTCTTTCTTCTTCTTTTTTTTTGCTAACTATATTTGTGCGTTTTCTTCAGTTTTTTTTCTTCCCCTCCTTGTTTCCGACCCACTCACTTGCTCGTTCACTTGCTTTCATTTCTTGTCGCCAATCGATCGTTATTAGAAAAGAGACAGACATATAGACAGAAGATCGAGATCGACAAGTTGATTAAATAAGAAGCAAGAAAGAAATTAGTCTGAGTGAATAAGTGGAAGTGTGTGAGAGAGAGGGAGAGAGCATTGACATGTTACAAGTATTAACAATACAAAGATAGAAAGAATAAATGCGAACTACTAGACAGTGACATGAGTTCTCAGAGGCGTTGAACTCTTAAATATGCTCATTTGATTGCTAGAATGTACAAAAAACATTTAACGTATTATTCACTAGAAATCACTGTGCAAACTTCTGATTATGTTATAAAAAAATAAAGATGAGCTTCTATGTTCAATCAATTTTTCTCGATATAACAGCAATCTTTTGGTATAATCGTCATATCAATTTCACTTTCATTCTGAATTATAACGTTTCAAATGTACAAATCTGGCATAGTTTTCATTATATTATAAACTCAAATGAGAATGTAATTCTTACCGTTAGATAAAATATCAACAATCATCAACTTTAAAATTAATTTTTTTTCCTCAGTAACAATATATTTCTTTGAAAAACTCCTTTTCAAACCTATGACATTATTAGAGGGATAGTGCGACAACTAAAAAAAAACTATGTAGACAATTAAAATGAAAAAAGAATAATTATGAACTAACAATCATCAATAATGAACTTCTCTTGTAATATGATTACCCATATTGTATATTGTTCTTAGATGGAGTTACTTTATACACTCCGCCAATATGATGATCACTCCATAGCAACCTATATTTAACTTTAAAAATGTCTGAGAAAAAAAAAACCTAACTGAATAGAATAATAAAATATTATTTTATTTTTTTGTTTTGATTAACTAAAACAAGATGGTAGATCGAACAAGAGTTCCAAATATGCTCGATACTTTTATGTATTATAATAAAAATCCAACACCACCATTTCCTGGTAGATTTTCATTTAGTTTTTTTTTTCAATATTGTCCTTGATTATTAATAAATCAATTATCTTAGGATATGGAGTACCACCTACCTATCTTCCTAATCAAACAAATGTTCAACCATATGTTGCTCAAGTCGGACTTGATCCTTGGTAGTTTAGAAAAATCTTTTTGAAACGATAAATAAATTGTTTCTTTTTCATTCTAGGCCGGTTAATGTACCTGCTTATCCTCAGGAATACGAAACACATTTTCCTCTAGGTTAGATATCTGATTCTACTCTTTGTCTTAATTTGTATAACTCTCTCCTCTCTATAGGAACCAATTATTGGTGTACACCAGAATATAAATTAACTCCGAACAATCTCAATGTTAGTGAACCAACATTACTTATACGTGAAAATCGAGCTAAACCCGGTGTTAAACTTGCTTTTACAGAAAAAGGAGCCGAAAGTGATCCTCGTGTATTTCGTGCTCGTTATGGTACATCGTCAGATGTTCCAACTCGACCATATTATGCTCAGCCATGGCTTATAGATGAAATTCGAAAAATCAAAAATTAATAATAATGAAAATTCAAATGAATTCATTTGTTTAAAACTTCTTTTTATTTTACTTAGAGAATAAGACAGACGACATACAATCACATACAGAGAAAATAATATTAATAAAATCATAAATATTGTCTAATATTCACCCTCTTCTTCACCTTCAGCCGGTGCTGTATCAGCTCCAACTTCTTCATAATCTTTTTCTAACATTGCCAAATCTTCACGAGCTTCACTAATTTCAATAAACAAAAAACAAAATGCCATAAAATAAAATAAAATTGATTATTATTCATTATACCTGAATTCACCTTCTTCCATACCTTCACCAACATAATGATGAACAAATGCTCGTTTGGCATAGAGTAAATCAAATTTATGATCGAGTCGGGCCCATGCTTCTACAAATATCCAAAACAAAAATCTATTATCATATCAGAAACAAACAAAAAACGAAATATTTTAATTTACCAGCAATAGCTGTTGTATTTGCCATCATCTAAATAGATCAAGTAAAATTCATTTTTTCTTGTCACCTAACCCTTATTTTCTTACACAAGCAGCACGTTGAACTTTGGCTAAATCACCACCAGGTACAACTGTTGGTGGTTGATAGTTAATACCAATTTTAAAACCTAAATTTTAAATTAAAGAAAAAAAAAAACCATACAAAAATGTCTTAATAATTCTTACCAGTTGGACACCAATCAACAAATTGAATATTTCGATTAGCTTTCAATGTTGATATAGTAGCTATGTATAACACAATAAAACTATTATCTCAAACAACTAAGAAAGAATTTTTACCATTAATATCTTTTGGCACTACATCACCTCGATAAAGAATGCAACAAGCCATATATTTACCTAAATAAATTATTTAAATTTCAAAAGTTTTGTATTTTATTATTATTTACCATGTCTTGGATCACATTTAACTAATTGATTACCAGGTTCAAATAGAGCTGATGTTACTTCTGATGTTGTTAATTGCTCATGATAAGCTTTTTCAGCTGATATAATTGGAGCATATGTTGTTAAAGGAAAATGTATACGCGGATATGGAACAAGATTTGTTTGAAATTCAGTAAGATCAACATTAATAGCACCATCAAAACGAAGTGAAGCCGTTATAGATGAAATAACTTGTGCCTAAATAGAATTAATACATGGGGAGAGAGTCTTTTTCCATTGATTATTTTCTTGATTTACCATTATACGATTAACATTTGTATAAGTTGGTTTTTCAAGATCAAGATTTCGTCGGCATACATCATAAACAGCTTCATTATCAATACAAAAACAACAATCTGAATTTTCGAATGTACTATGTGTAACTGAAAAAAACAAAGAACATCTATAATTAAAATACGAAAAATCAAATAAACCGACCGAGAATAGAATTGTATGGTTCTACAACTGCAGTTGCTATACGTGGAGCTGGATAAACAGCAAATTCAAGTTTAGATTTTTTTCCATAATCAACAGCCAATCGTTCGACAAGTAATGAAGTAAAACCTATTTATTTAATAGAAGAAATCTTTCGATTTATTTTTCTTGTTTAAAGCAAAAAAAAACAGACCTGAACCAGTACCACCACCAAAACTATGAAAAACAAAAAATCCTAATAGACCAGAACATTGATCAGCTAATTTTCGAATACGATCAAGTACTAAATCAATAATTTCTTTTCCAACAGTATATCGACCTCGTGCATAATTATTTGCTGCATCTTCTTTACCCGAGATAAGTGTTTCAGGATGAAATAGTTGACGATAAGTACCCGTTCGTACTTCATCTATCGAACAAACAAAAGACAAATCATCTATTAACTGATTAAATAATTCCTACCAATAACTGTTGGTTCAAGATCAACAAAAACCGTTCGAGGTACATCTAATCAAATCAATAATGTATAAACTTGAAATTTTATGAACATTATCTTACATTTTCCCGCTCCTGTCTCAGCAAAAAATGTTTGAAATGAATCATCACCTGAACCAAGAGTACAATCAGTTGGCATTTGTCCATCAGGTTGTATTCCATGTTCAAGACAATATAATTCCCAACATGCATTTCCAATTTGTACACCACATTGACCAATATGAATTGAAAGACATTCACGCTTATTGAATCGAATAAAAACAGATTCGTTGTTTTTTTAAATCAATTTTTACTTACCATTGTGGAACTCTTTCCCAAAAAACAATAGACAAAATGAAAAATTCAGATGATGCTTTGTTTGATTAAATCACTGGTTTTGTTTTGATTTAATGTAAATTACTTAATGTTTTAGCGCGCCTTTTGTCTTTTGTTTGGCTTGACAGAAATCATTGATTAATGAATTTTTTTGCAAAAGATAAAACAGGAGTCGAATTCTTTTTTTTCATACTCGAAACAAATATTTTATTCAAAAAAAAAAATAATAAAATTAAATAAAAATACTTTCTAGGAAATTTATTTCTTATTTCCAAGCCATACATGTAATGTATATTGACTATCCCATAATGAACAATATCTTTCTAAACATGTTAAAGATTGAATAAATTCTTCATGATTAATTGTTAAGATTTGTGCATATTCAAATGTAACACTTGTTAAATGATCAACATGTTCAAGAATATATTTAATATCATCAAGATTTTTTACACGAATTTTTAAATATTTTATATTTGATGATATAATTGAACAAATTGTTTTCATACGTTTCATACAATTATCTGGTGTCCAATAATCATATAATAATAATGAATGAAGATTTGATGCTTTACTAAGTAATATATTTATATTTGCAACTGTATTTAACATATGTTCAGGAATAAAATTAACAGATAAAGATAATATTGTAATATGTGAAAGATCAAGAATAGTTGAAAGAAATTGTAATGAATTTCGTGGCCATTCACTAGTATTGTCGATTGTCAGATTTGTAACATTACGAAATAAGATATGATTTGATGATTCGTTCTTAAAAAAGAAAGAATTCTATTTAATATAAAAGATTTAAAAAAAAAGAACAACACAGATTAGACAATGATTATTTGTTTAAGTTTAATATTTTGAAGGATGAATAAATACACTGAGATAATCATTTGTCCACAAATAAGATAAAACATTTTTTTGAAAATGACCTTTTTTATGTGGTAAGTAACAAACTATAGAAAAGTATCTTTCTATATGGAACAAAGGAGGATTGATAAGGATACATTTCCCTCCGAAATGTTTTCGAAAAAAAAAGAACAACACATCATGATAATAAACCAATCATGAATATAGTTATTCATCTTAGTTCAACATTGAGATTTTTCATACTTGTACTGTCCTAGGGTACATCTGAAAATTTGTTTCTCATCATTTTGAGTCAAAAACAGACCGTAATATAGAGTGGATGATACTGATCATGAATATCTCCTCCATTCATGCCTCAACCATTTTAGCAAGTAAAAAAAAACGAAATATGCAACATTTTGACCGTAGGCAAGAAATACAATCGTCTCTGTTTGTTTTTTAAGTCGTTCATTGCTTCAATTAAGTGTTCTAAATCTTTGGAAAAAAAATCTAACACAGGTAGTCCAGTGTCCTCTACCTAATGAAATACTAATTGCGTCAGTTAAACACATAGGATGATGCACAACATGCGAGAAGTGTAAAAATGTAATCTGAAAAAAATAACTATTCATTATTACTAAAAGGTAATTTTACTTCAAAATAGTAAGATGTTTTTTTTCTGCTTCAAGGACATATTTGAATAGAACATGAAAAACTAGATTTGATCATATCGTTTTTAGAAGGTAATAGAGTAAAATGGTGAATTGATATAACTTCAAACGGATTTGTACACATTAGTTGACTAGGGTTTTTGCTCGTAGTCCAGTTTTATGAATTGTTTCTCATATTGGAGTGTCTTAATATCTCCATCATTAGATAAATAATACTTGAATATTCATTTGAAATTCGTTTCCCAATGTTGAGACCATAATATAAGACCGGCAACCAATCAAAAACAAAGAACAGTGCACTTATTCACCCAGGTTGTAATCTTTTGAAAATCTGCTCTCTTCATTCATCGAAATGATTTAGATAAAAATTAAGATGATATTCGTAATCCGCATTGCCAACTCTAGATTTTGACATATGTTTGATTCAAAAAGGAAGAGAGAAAAAAAACCGCAGGTGCACGATAAGCGAGGCTAAGTGCAAAAAATCTCAATGTCAAAGTAAGGTGAATGAGTATGTCCATGGTTAGATTATTACCATGATTGATTTTTCTTCCAAAACATATTTACGGCAGAAAGTGTCCTTATTGACTCTAATTCTTTGATTTTGAAAACCTATTGATTCTTTCTCTTCTCGACACATTTTTTGAACTTTTGAATAAAATAAAAGACGATTAAAATCGATCCAACATTCTTAAAAAATCTAATAATTCGGTAATTATATATTAATTACCTGTTCTTTTGATAGACTATCCAAATCTTTCGTTAATTGTAATTGTAATTTTTCTACCTTATCCATATCATTTTCATTAATTCGTATTGTAAAATTCGATGAAGAAATTTTTTTTAAATCAGTATGATATGCAAAACGAGTGCTACATATTGGTAAAGTGTATAACATAAGTTTATGTGAATTAATAATATAATCACAAGTAATAAAACAATTCATATTATCAATCCAAAATGATGTTCGAAATGAATTCATAAGAAGTTCAACATTACGAGAACGAAAATTATTATAAGTTAAAATATGAAGAAAAAATTCGAATTTTTTTAATGAATCAAGTTTTCGAATTATCCTTTCCAATTGAAAGCCATCAAATGATGAACTAAATAAAGATCCAGTACCAGTTAATTTAAGATAGATCAGCGAAGGTGTTAGAGAAAGACATACTTCAAGCATATTAAATTCTAGAAGACCATTTTCGAATAATAATGATGTTAACTGTTGAAACGGTACCGCATATATGTCGTTTTCATTATCATATATGTCAACTTCTTTTAAAACAAGAGTTCTTAAGTTAGGAGAATTTTGAAGAATAATACAAAATTGCTTTAGTGTTATGCTGTTAACGATTTGAATATAGTGTAATGTACGATTTATAGGCCATTTAATACCATTCCAATCTTTAGTCCATATGCCTAAATAAAGATTTTCAAGTGTATGATGAGCTATAGCCGATGATAGAAGAGATGGTGTTGTATTTTCACGAGTATGTACTATTTGTGTACTAATTGAAAGCGTTTTTAATGACGAATTAATAACATAATTTGAAAATATATTTAAATGTACTTCATTAATTTGAAGAAGAGTTAGTGATTCAAGTCGAATAAATTTTTCAATATTAAATAATGAAAGAAATAATTGAATTTGACCTCGTGTTTTGTCTTCATCAGATAATGTAAGTGAAATAACATTTTCAAATGGTATAAGTTGACAAATAAAATGAAAATATGGTTTAGCTATTGATTTAAAATTAAAATTATATCGATTATATGAATTTGTTATTAAATAAAAACGTTTAGAAACATAACGAAGTGATAGAACAATAATTTGAATATCAAGATAATCAAATATACGATAAAGAATTTCAACAGGTAACGTATCAAGACATGAATTGGACATTTTTATTTGTAGTAAGGTCTATAATTCTCATTATTTAACCTAAGAGCACAAAAACAAAATATATTTTTTCTCTTAGGTCAATAAGTACAAAATAAAACAGAGAATAGATAATGTTTTTTTTATGCGTATTATATAATTTGTTGTTTTTTCTTTCATGAAAAGCCAAACGCACAGTATGCACTCATATGAATGCATAACATGTTAGATTAAATATATCGAAATTATTTAATATTTTTCGCTGAAAATCTTTGTATTTCGCCATATGGTGTTTAACTAAATTATTTTATTTTTCGAATAAGTTAATATTTTCTTTGACATGTGTCATACAAAGTGCTATCATGCGAAAACGAGTGATCGAATGGTTTTTATCAAAATACTCTTACCAGAAAATAAATGGAAACTCTGATATAGTATGCTGACAGAACGAAAAAAGTATAGCGTGTTAATCGAATCGACATCAAATACACTATTTGCGACGATTTCTGAAAACAATTAGATGGACCGAATTTTTGATTTATATTGGTCGATAGAGGAAATTTTTCCCCATTGAACTGTGAATTTAGTTTTTTCTAGAAAATTGACTAAACCCAAGAAATAATCGATATAAACTGACCAATCAACACACAGATCATCTAAAGTGGTTTTTTTCCAGCAAAAGAAATGGGCCGAGTTTTTTACTTATACTGGTCGATAGAGATGGTTCTTCTCTATCAGACTGTGGTTTTAGTTTTTTCCAGAAAATTGTCTATACTCGAGAAATAATCGAAACAAATTGACCAATCAAATCACATAAACGCTTCTCATTTGATATTGACTCGATGATTCATCTCTATTTGTCAACATACTAATAGAATATATTAGGAAAATGTTTAATGTCGATTGTCATAAATGAAGAAAGAGAATCATCAATCATATTATAATTTGAATAATAAAAATAAAAAATTACTATTTTTTTCTGCTATTTAAATTGATCAGAAGAGGAAGTATCTCGCCTTTCGGCTACTTTGAACTATAGGATACTGTTTGGAGTTAGTTTCGTAGGTTTGACATCCTTTCTAAGAGTAGTCAAACTTCAACTTCTGCTGTTAAATCATTTGAGCTTCCCGTTGACTAACCACATACAACTAATAGAGGTCAGTGTTCGTTACAACGTAATTAGCACGCTATCGGACAAATGTTTATAGACAAACAGCTGTTAATGACTTATCTCAGGTCATTCTATTTTGGGTTCGACGAAATTCGAATACTATATATTAAAAGCATGTGCCGAACAACTTAACTACTCAGCCATATTAACTTTTGAATGAATAACAATTAATAAAAATCGAAGACAAACATGATACAAAACATCGCAATTTCTAATACAAAACAATAGATTTATCTTGTCTTCAAAATATGAAAGCTATTATTCGAATAGATCTTCCCAATGATTCTCTTAGCATGTTTTTAAATAGAATAACTCAATAATCAAAAAGTATCAACTTTCAATTATTATTGATCACTATGAGAATCGGTAAAGTCTAAATAATTCAAGTAGATTTCCGTTGTCGTACTCAAGATTCTATACAACCGTTAATAAATAATAGCAATATCAAGACGTTCTTAGAATTTTTTTCATAAATAATAAAACCAATATAATAAAATGAAAATCCTATATCGATTTTGGAGAAAAATATTTTAACATTAGGTTTTGCATCCAAGAAGACTGTAGATCTAAAAATATCAAGTCATTAGTATCCAATAGTTGAAATGTTTCTTTATTAACTTTACCTAATGTAATTAATGACAGGTTAAGATTTGTCACATGATATGCTAGTCTTAAAGTATCTTGAAGGACCAGTGGCGGATCTAGGATTTCGCCCGAGTGAGGGGAGCTACTTTTTTTTTTTGAAGCAGTAAGAAGTATAGGTCAGCGCGAATGGAATTATCTTTGTGAGGCTTCTATGTTGGTTAGGGAAAGGTTAAATTATGTAGTAAGTTTTACGTGGCGTAATCGCTTTGAAACTTCAATCGCCGAAAGCGCCGAACGGCTAGATCCGCCACTGTGAAGGACTATCGAAAGATGTGTGGGTTAGGGTACACAAAATATCCTCACTAACATCTATACACACACGATGATCTGTCCAGTCACCACTCTATAAGAATCGAATTTCAAAACGAAACTACTCAAATCTTATTGTGATCATTTTATTTGTCATGTCTCCTAAATAACATTTCAATTGTCTTATAACAAAAATACAAGACTATGAAATAATTCTTGTTTTTTTTTTTTCAAATCGCATGCATATTTTTATATCGATATTTAAATAAGATGTATACATGTGTGTATAAAAAGAAAGAACAATATGATAGGATACAAGTTGACAAAAAAAAAGAAACAACACAACAAATATCTAACAAATAAGCTGATTATTATTATACAAAAAAAAACAAAATGATTTTGTTTATCTGACAAAATTTTTTTTTTGTTCATTCGATATTACTTGAAATAATAAAAAAAGCATTACGTAAAACACTCGATGGAAAACATGTTTCAAGTAAATCACGTGTTAAATATGGACATTGATTAACAAATTGTTCAAGTAATATATATGTTGCTTCTTTATGTATAATATCATTTGATGTACCATTCGAATTATTTGATGTTGAATTATTATTTGTATTTGAATATTTTGTATTTTGTCCACAATCAACATCAATTAAACGTAATAAACTAGATGATGCTAATGCAAGAAATTCTTTACAACGATCTTCAATATGTCTTTGACCATGTTCAAAAAAAAATGTTGTTATTAATGTATTTATAGCACGTATTAAACAATGACAATTATTTGCATGTGCATCTAATGCAACAATATATTTTGTTGATTCAAGTCTTGCTAAACGTGGTAATGCAACAGCTATATAAACCATAATTAAACATGAAAGTATATATTCTTCGGATTCATTAGTTGTTGATGTTTGATCAGTATTATTATTATTATTATTAATAGAATTTTTTTGATTTATTAATGCTTGACATAATGTTGAATCAATTATTGTTGATGTACCTGTTGATGATATCATTTCATTTATAAGTAAATGATGTTGAGGATCATTTGAAAATGTTGTTGTTTTATATTGGGAATAAAAATGTTCTAATGTAACCATTAAAAATGGCATACGTTTATATAAAACATCTTGTAATGCTTCTTCAATAAGATTTTTTAATTGTAATAAAACACCAATTAATATAACACGTTGTAATAATAAATCAACATGTTCAAGTTGTTTTAAATAAAGTTTCATTTGACTTGGTTTATCAAAATTTATACGAAGATTATTTAATAGATCACGTTGACTATGTGTTAATTTTCGTATTTCATTTATTTGTTGAACACAACGATAAAGAATCATTTCACATAAATATTTACAACCGTCTACAACAAAGAAAAAAATCTTTATAGTTCCACTATTGTTACATATAGATAAAGAACTTATATCGAAAGTAAATTTTGGATTCGAGAAAATGAATTGATTTTGGGTTACAAATTTCGTCTCGTCAAGTATTTTATCCAGATTTTATCTTTTGAAAGAGCAATTTGAAACTCCAAGAAGGTTAAGCCGATCATCGGAGGCATGCAACCTTCACGCTGGATAAAATACTCAATAAACTTTAGCTATAATTCTAAAGTAGAATTTTATTTTCAGCAGAATTATATGAGATTGGTTAATCAGTAAACTGTTAAAAGTTAGTTTTTAAATCTCACTGAATTTCATTGTGATTTCGATCTTTATAGCTTATCTAATAAGTTTTTAAATTTTCATTATTTTCAACTAAAAAAAAAGAAAATCTTATTTTAATTCCAAACTCAGACTTACTAAATATTATGAGTTTTACTTTAAGTTTTAGAGACATAATTCTTTCTTTGGAAGTGCTTTAAGTTTCATGACATATTGTAACATAATATAAAAGAGAAAGGCTTAATGGAATGGAACTTTCATTATTCTTCAAGAAACAATTACAACGTACTTTATTAACTTCAAAATCTCTTGATTTGTGAAATCTGAATTAGGTAAGCTCATTAAAACTATATAAAAATATTCTTTTAATTTCGATTTCATATATTTATATCACAAATCTTTCTAATATTGAATTGAAACAATATGAAAATTAAATAAAAATAAATCTTACATGGTTTAATTAATTCTACTAACGCTCTTAATTCATTAAATGAAGCATATTCTTCAGGATCAAATGGTAATGTTAAATCTTGTTGATGTATACTAACAAATGATCGACGAATAGGTGAATAAACAATTGTACCCATTGTAATACGTTTAACAAGTACTTCAAGAAACCAATGTGTATATAATGATGTTATTGTTTCATTTCCTGCACTATCTAATGGTTGACTTTGTTGTAAAAGTACTTCATTAAAAATTCTTGTTGTATCAATTTGACAATGAGATTCAACTAATGTTAAAATATCCATATAAGATTCAACAGATGATAATAATTCGGATGGTTTAGCTATTTCCATAGCTGGTGGACGATAATTAACCATTTCAGATAAAGATTTATTAAAACGATTTTCTAAATGTGATATTAAATATTCATTTGGTAAAAATTTATGTTCCCATATTGTTATTTGTTTACGATAGGAGATTGAAAAACATAATTCATTAAGTACCATCATTAATTTATCAGTTTTTGTCATATCACGACGATTTGATCGACGTGATTCATCACCTGGTAAGGATAATTTAACAGCTTGTGGATTCAAACCAGTGGTTGAATCATGTTTAGATGATGAACTATGTTTTTTAGATAATTGTTCAGCTGGAATCTTTTTTCGTAGACGAGATATAACTGCATTTTTAGGTAAAAGCTAAAAAAAGATTAAAAAAAAACGAATATTTTTTTCCATAATTTATAATATAATCAAAGATTTCGAATATACAGTTTAAAACTTAATGTACGGGAAGAACAGAAAACTATTAAGTCTATCAGAAGGAAGCACTTGTATCTAATCTGTAATTTTTCAGACTACTTATTTTATTTTCCTCATATATGATAATAATATATCCTATCGAAACAAAACAAAAAATATTCTCTTATAATCGAAAATCTAAATATGTTTTTAAGCTAAGTATATATTTCATTTAAATCATACCTGTTCATTCATAAGAAAATATTCATTCGCAATTTCCGATACAGTACTTTTTATTTGTTTACATATTTCATCAATAAAAGCATGTGCACTTTTTAAACTTAAATCTCCAATTTGTTGTCGTTCTTCGGGACATAATTCATGTGTTGCATTTATAAAATGTTGACATATTAATGGAAATGCAATAGCATAACGTATTTGTGACGGATAATAAATACATGATGAAAATAAATGATCAAATTGTGTTAAATAAAAATAAAATATTGATAAATCACTTGTTTCATACAATAATGTTTCAATATCATCAACACATTTTGAATGAAAACAAATTGTATTCATAACTTGTGCAAAATTTTCATTATGTGAAAGTGATATAGATGATAATGATGATTTTTTTGTAACACTGGTATATGCTTGCATACGAAACCAATCAAGACGTAATGCACGTAGATCACCACTTGTTGATGTTGATAATGTTGTAATTGTATTATAAAATGATGTTAATAATATTGATTCATCTTCTGTACATGACATATTAAGATTTTTTATATTGGATTGTAAATCATTTGAATCTAGTGTTGATAAACATTCAGTATAATATTGTTTTATTACAGAAGAATATATTGTTATTAAATGACGAAGTTCCTCTAAATGAAGATAAACGAATAAAAACAAACAAAAAAACAGAAAACAATGAATTTACCAATATAAAATAAAAATTCTGGATATGTTCGATCACTATAATCATCTCGTGTTGTACCAGTTGTTTTTTTATTTGTTTCTTTTTGTAGTTTAGCTGGAAAGTTTTCACTGTGTCGTAATAACCAAACGATTTCATCACGTGCTAAACTTAAGGCAGTAAAAGCAGTTAAAAGTTTTGGACCTAAAATATGAATATTGAAATGTTAAAAAACAAATAAATAAATAAGGAAATATTCTTTTCTAACAGAATTTTTTTTCTTACGAGAAAGAACGTCCTCAAATGTGACTCGTCAATCCAACTGTTATTTTATACATAGGTAAGTCTCGTCGATAGCTAAATGTCCTGAAAATTTCAATTAAAAGAAATATGTCTTTCTTGAGATATCAAATGTTGAAAGTACTTGGCTGTAGTTAAACGATAATTCATAGTTTAAATGGAAAAGATAGCACAGTTTTGTTCTTCTCGATTTTATAGACATAATAATCCATTCCCAGGATTACATATTCCCTTGTTAAACTTCAAGGAAACATTCACTTCTACTCAAGACTTAAAGCAATCAGACACTTTGAGTTTGATCAATCATAGAGCTTAAGGTTATCGCAAGGGAACGACAGCAATCTTTTCACAAGTTTCAGAAATTTATAACTCTCAATACTAATTTCATTCCGACTGCAACGAAACTTATATATCTATCCTTTATTCTAAATCTATTTCTACAGTTTAAGCACCCATCAACATTCATTCTACTAACAATTGATTACTCGCTTTTAAGTTGGAACTATGTACATCATGTAAACCCTAATGGGTTATGAATACTCCAAAACGAATTCGGACTCATAACTTATTGCTGCTGAGATGCTGTATTTTTACGATATTTTTTAAATCAATACCGTGATCCTCCTCAGGAATAGAAGGAAAACTCATTTTCAAATTTCTAGTTGAATTCTTCCATGGAGACTGGTCTCACTGAGTATAGTTTATTGTATAAATTTCAGATATTTTTGTTGTTCCTATCCTAATAGACAGATATGACACAAGCTAGTCTTTTATACTGCTCATATACGCTGCCAGATGTTGTGTTCTTGAAGGAGACCATGGCATGGTGTTGAAAAACAGTGTAAAAATACAATATGCTGGCAATAATAAGCTATGAGTTCGAACTTTTTTTCACGATATTCATAACTCATTAGGATTTACATTATCCACATAGTTCCAACTTAAAAGCAATTAATGAATTCATAGGACTTCCTTCGTAAAACAAAAATATCTTAAAATATTATATATTTATTATAAAATATAGTTTAATTCTTATAGGATAAAATTTTTATTTACCAAGTAATGCTGGTTGATCAGCAAAAACTAATGCCAATTCTTTTAATTGTGGTCGAATATATTTTCGTCTTTCACGTCTATACAAAGGTTGTTCAGTAATTGCTTTTTTAAATGTATCATTTAATAATTCAGTTAATTTTAATTGTCTATATGATTTATAAATATCTAAATTTTGATGTAAATATTGATGTGTCAACAATAATTCATCACGATAAAGTACATGAACAAAACTACTTGATAAAGCTTTTTCAAATAATTGCATACATTTTGAATTCATTATTAATTGTTGTGGACATACAATCATTGTATAAATAATCCAACGTTCAATTGTTTCTTGTGATAAATATTCACATGGTAAAATTTCTGATGTATCCATTAAATGAGCTGTTTGAGATGTAGCAAGTAAACTAAGTAAATTTTTAGCACGCCAATCAGATACTTTACATGTACGACGATCATATACAGGTGCTAAAGATTGTATAGCATCACCAATTGAACGCACATGAGGAACAAATTCATCATGTAATTTACGTAAAGGTTGTTCATAATCAATTATCATTTGACCAAGACGTGGAAAACTTGCATCACCATGACCATGTATTAAATCTGTTGCTATATTATATAAACCAAGAACTATTTTACGATCATCAACACGTGATAAAAGTATCATAAGTGATATATATGTTGAGATTAAATCTAAATATGATTTTGTTAAATCGTAATTAAGTGCCTAAGATTTAATAAGAGGCAAAGAAAGATTTTTTTTTTCAAGCACAATAAGAATATAAAATTTGATACGTACAATATCAAAATGAACTTGGCAGGCATCAATAGTAGTTAATAAATCGGTAACATGATCCTGAAAGATGAAATTTAATTTAGAAAAAAGCAAAAAAAAAACCAGCTTACTCGAAATTCTAAAAGATCAACAAATGTAAAATAATATATTGCAAGTGATTTGATTATATCAGTTTTAATAGATGTAAGTGTTTGAAATTGACTCTAGTAAAATTCGAATATTAAAGTTTTTGCTTTTTTTTTTTTAACCATAAGATATAGATACTTTATCAACTGCTGGAAATTTCTTTTGTATTTGACGTAGAACCGATTCAAGATTTTTATCCAGAAGAAAAGTTGGTTTAGACTTTGTTTCAGCACATGCCTAAAATAAATAAGTCACATTCACATTACAATCGGAATCTTTTTAAATTTTAATTAAGCAGAAAAATTGAATGCTTTCAAGACATAATTCAATAGGTTCGAATTCTTTTGCGTTATCAAGCCAAGACCCAACACCGAGCAGCTAATAATTATTTAGCATAACCCAAATGCACAGGTTACAAATTATTGCAAATATAAAAACCTAGCAGTGACATACATGTCTTTAATTGAAATGAAATTTTTTGATAACATGATTTCCTATTTAAAAAAATGAAAAAATTTTTGTTCAAAATACTTACAAAAGACTGATCGATTTGTCTTGCATTTAGCTTTCGAAATTTATAGGAACGTTACGTGTGAGCATAAGCAATGTGACGCGAGCTATTTAGTGGTATGAAAATATTTGACAAGTTCCATAAAGAAACAGTTTTATTAAAATCTTGATTCTCTCTCTACGACGCCTAATGAAATTTTTCTCGGAAGATCTAATGTTGTTTTATATAATGTGATTTTGTAGATGGTTCACTAAACAATGTTAGCTACGAACTCAACCAATAATTTGAAAACTTTATTTTTATCTGTTTACAATGCCCTATTATAGAGTTACAAAACTCGATACAAGACAAACAATAGAACCAACTTTCTTAGTGAATGGAGATTGTCTTCCAAATTATAGAAGCGTGTATAGAACTTTTTGGCTTTCGGTTATGATTTTGAAATGAATATAATTATACAGCTTTGCGATAGAAACTTGACTCTTTCTAACAAGAAAACATATCATGTTTTCACGATGAATTATTTAGTTAGTTGTTGAATTGAAAAAAGAAACCTCACATCTTTCGTTTTTGATGAAACAAATACTTTACTTTTTTAATATTAAATATTCTTGTTAACATTCCAATTCCTCGATCATTAAGAATAGTTAATTTTTCTGCTAATTTTTGTTGATGAGGATTTATTTGATGAGCCATTCTCTTAATCTAGAAAGAAAAAAAAATGCAAAAGATCAAAAAAAAAATAAATAAATAGATGTTTAAATCATTCAATTTGTTAATAACACAAAAAAAAAAGGAAAATAATTAATTTGAAAGACAATCAAATATTGTTCTGTATCACAAAGGTAATATTGGAACATCAAGCAAAGATTTCATTAAATTAGTTCCATTAATAAAATGTGTCGTTGCAATAATAAAATCATGATTTTGATCAGCTAAAAATCTTAATGCTGCTATTTCTCCATATGTTATACCACCAATAAAAACAACTAAAGTTACTTTTGATTCTGTAACCTGTTGTTGCTGTTGCTGTTGTTGTTGTTGAGTTTGTTGTTTATTCGTTTTATTTAATGAACTAAGTGATGCTGTTGAACCATGTCTTTGTCGTTTTAATTCCATAGGTACTTGTTGTGTATCAATAAATGTTATACCAGGTAAACTGTTCATTACATCTTGAATATTATTTGCTGTTGGAAAAACAATTTTTTCTATTAAACGTATACTTATTGGTGCATATTGATAATAAATATAATAAATATCTTGTGGATCAACAACATTTATTATTTGATCATCTTGTAATAAATTAAATTCACGTTTTAGACGTTCAAAATTTGTTTCATTGGTTTTTATAGCTGATGCATTTTTATTTATATCAGGTACAACTAATATTCCAACTTGTTCAAGTGCATGTATTAAAACAAGATATTGTAAACCATATGTTTGTATAAGATCTCTTTTAATTAAATCATATTCTTTACGTTTTAATTGTGTACCTAACGATTGTGTTATGATGGATAAATAACGTAATATACAAAAAATATTATCCTTCCATGCAATACGTTCATCTATTTGATGTAATGCATCTTGTAATATTGGAGAAAATAACATTGATAATTGATTCGATAAATACATATCGTACATAGATGTTAATTCTTGTTTTATAAAAAATGCTAATTCAAGATGTGTTGATAATGTTTGAGTTTTAGCATTTTGATTAGACATTCGTGTTACAAATTCACGTAATTCAGCTAATTTTTTACCTTGAATATTTGATGCTGAGCCAGAAAATTGATTATCAAAATCAGTACGTAATTGTCGTTGAGCACGTGCACCTTCTTGAAGAATTTTACCAACTGATATCATATGTAAATAACGTGTATCAGAATATAATTTATCACTACTTAATAAACGTACAGCTACTTTTTCTTGTGTAGCTGCATCAAGTTTTTGAACTTCACGAAAATCATTACTAAATGATGTTGTTGGTACTTCAATACGATTGAATTGAATACCTAAAAGTGAAATTAAGAATAGAATTTTATACTATAAGATGAGAATAGATATTATTTTATTTTTACGAAGTGATTTCTTCTTCGTTTTTAAACATGACTTTAAATTCTAGTTTTGAACTTTCAAAAAATCTTGTCAGTTAATTTCCTACAATTACCAATTCGAAAGACTTCATTATATAGTATAATGTTTTTATTCAGTTAGGAGAGAAGTTCTCCAGTTGATAAATTGCTTCTAAGTCGAGACTGTACATTACGTAGATCCAAATGAAGTATGGATACCTTGGAAATTATGTAATGTCCTTAGCTTATTGTGATAGCGATACTGCATTAATTGGAGCACACCTTAACGAGAGTAGTTTATTGTGAAAGTTTCAAGTCTTTTGATTTGCTTCTATCCTAATATAAGAACATCAAATTTGTCGGTTTATATAAGCGACGTAAAAGACACGCTATTGTCATAGTTCTATCTTTTGATAGCAACAGCGACAAGATCTGAAATATTTACCAAAACCTGCTTCTGTTAAGACCTATATCAAGAAGAAATTTAAAAACTACTGAAAAAAATGTGTAGTATCTCTGCAGCTATAAACGAAAAGCATGCAGAATTTATCAGTTGAAGGACATCTCTCGCTAAACCTGAATGACATCCTACAGAATATTTTTTCATAGGATATTGTAGAATTCTCAATAATTGTAAAATGTTATACTAATCTTATCGATTTATTTAAACGTTTGAATTCGAAGCTAATCATTTCAACTTATTCTTATACATGGACTATCGGATTTAAGTACATAAACTTTTTCTTATGTACAAATCTGAAACCACTCTTTGAATCTTCAATAGGTTAAAAAGTTGTCATACAAAAATTCAACTTATTTCTATTTGTTTTTCGAAATATAAAAACGAGCATTAAAAGAAAAATCATCGAAATCTGTCATTTAATATTATGTACAGTTTTCACCGGCAATCTTAGATTTTTCTACTTACACATTAAATCTTAATTTATTCAAAAAAAAACTAAAAACTTAATTTTTCTACTATTTTCTTCCATGAAACATATTATCAAAGAATTTTCGTTTTAATTTTATTTTGTCTTACCAAAAACTTCATCAAGTAAAGCTTCGTACGTTGCTGGTATCATCATTGGTGTTATTAAATCAGTTGATCGATCAATTAAAATAAGATTTTCAATTTGTGTTGGTACTTTTTTTTCATTATCTGGTACTTCACGTTGCATTCTCATCATACTATCATAACATTGTTTAGCTTTATCACCTTTAACAAATACATTTGGTATAATTCCATATAATTGTTGTAATGTAATAAGACCATGTGCTAAATTAAATATTGGTGTTGTATCTTTATTTAAATATAAATCTCTAAAACAATCATAGGATTCCATTGATAATAAATCTGTATCAATAGGTATAAAATCTAAATTAAGTTCATCTATGATAATATCACCTAGAACACCTTTTTCTTTTAATTTTTCTTCACAAACACGTGATAACCGTGGAACAAATATAATACCATATTGTTTTATAATAGCGTCTTTTGTTTTATATTGACTTAATTTATTCATTTCATCTCGAATCATATTTGCAATAATTTCCATATAAATTGGTTTTGGTCGAACAATAAATAATGTTATTTTATACTCTGATGTATCATGTTGACGTTCTTTAAATATTCGTATATCATTTGCACCGAGTTCATTTAATGCTTGAATGTGACCAAGTAAATTTTTAATATCATCATCAATAATAACACATTTTTCTTTTGTAAATTGTTTAGGTAAATTACTTTTTTCAGTATGAAATTGATTCGTACAACGTTTTATTTGTTGAAGAATAGAATCACGTAAAACAGTTAAATTAATACGACCAGTTTTTAAATGACTAAAATCTTGTTTTAATGGTACATTTCCTGTTTTTGTTGACATTTTCCTATATTCGATTGCCAAGAAAACAAATAACTAGCTATAAGAAGTTCAATAGTACAACCCAAAAAAAAAAGAGAAGTAAACAATGAGAGCCAATAGCGCTACAAGTTTGAGATTGGTAGCATTGATTGTAGTGTTGTATGTTTTAACCAATAGAAAGGACAGAATGATATAAATGAAAGATAATGAAACCTTGCTTGCCTGTTTCTCTTAGGTGATGATTCATCAATAGAATAAGAACTCAAGACGAGTACGTACTTAGTCATGGGTTCATTTCGTCACTCGGTAAGGAATGAAAATAGGAATGATTTGAATTATTACTCATCAATCATGTATATGAAAATCAAATATTATTTGATAACACATACATACTAAACGCCTACGTATCTAAATATTTTTTTTTTAGATTGTTATATAAAAATGCGAAATTTCATACTATAAAACGATGATGAGCAATACACCGAGTATAATTGAAGAGGATGAAGATTATGATAATGATCAGTACAATTATGATCGATTACAAGTTGTCATGGATAGACCAGTAAATACGAATCTTGTTAAAAATCAAAATGAACAATTTCCACAACTAACATCACCAATAGCGTAAGAATTCATTAAAAATTAAAATATTTTGAAAATATTAAATACGAAAAACAAGTGATATTTTTTGAAATTTTATAGAACTGGTTTAAGTTCATGGCGTATTTCACGCTTTCTATTAAATTTTCTATCGATTTCACCTAATATGCTTGCTCAAGCTGAAGAACGATTATATCAAGGTATTAGTAATTCAATTGATTTTGTATTTATTCATCAATAAAGTATTTCTAGATTTGAAAACAAAATACAATGGTGAATATATAAGCATTCGGTGAGTTAGAAAGAGAAAATTCTTCAAAATTGATATACGTACATATATTTTTTTCTTAGCGGTGATTATCTAATTTGGACAGTAAGAAGTTTAAATTCATCAAAAACTGCTATACCAATTGTACTGATACATGATTTTGGTTGTGCAAGTGGTATATGGATACGAAATATAGATTTTTTAAGTACACGTCATCCATTATATATGTTTGATTTACTTGGTTTTGGTCGTTCATCACGACCTAATTTTGATCAAACAAATTCAATAAATGCTCGAACAAAATTTATTGAATCAATTGAAGACTGGCGTATAGCTGTTCGTTTACAAACAAAATTCTATCTAGTTGGTCATGGTTTTGGTGCTTATTTAGCTACATTATATACAATGACATATGGACAATTTATTAAAAAATTGATTCTTCTTGATCCATGGGGTTTTAATCCAAAACCTGATGAAAATCAATTAAATTTAAGTACACCATTATGGATTAAAATCATTGCTTATATTATGCAAACATGGACATCATTTTCCGCATTTCGTTATCTTGGACCATTAGGTAAATAGATTAATAAATTTCTCATTTATGATGTACTTGAAACCATCACTTGCTTTAATAGAATTATTATCATATTGATCTCTTCTTCTTTTTTATATAGATTTGTTTTCTTCTAGGGTCTGCATTGCTTATAGGGATTTTTCTTTCTAAATGACAAACAATCCTATAAAGAAGTCTGGAAACTTTTTCTCTACGACTGTAAATACCATCAAAAGCTAAACAGTATGCTTTGAAGCAAATGGTTAATTTACCAATTATAGATAAAATAAGATCTAAAAACATCGAGCAATAAACAGATATTTTACTATAGTATATTCTTTGATTCCAATGGAAGTTTTATGTTACAATTAAATTTTCGTATACATTATTTAGGTTTACCATTATTAAAAATATTTGCACCACGTTGGAAACGCTTAGCACCAATGGATTCTTCAACTGAAAAATCTAATGCACTTTATGAATATTTATATTATGTTAATGCACAACCGGCGAGGTAAAATTGTATTACGTTAGAAAATATTATTTGAAAATATTCTTTGTGTTTTCTTTCAAAAAAAAAGTGGTGACTTAGGTTTTCAAGCATTAGCGTCATGGTATGGTTGGGCGAAAGATCCAATTGTTCAAATTGATCATTCAAATATCGAAACAATATCCGATGATATTTCAATTGCGTTTATTTATGGTTCACGTACGAATATTGATAATACAGGTGCACATCAAATTCTTCATCAACGTGGTCTAAATAATACTTGTATTAAAGTACGAGAAAACGAAATGAAAAAAAAACCAAAAGATTTGATTTTTATTTATTGTAGATTATTCATAATGCTGCACATTTCTTTTTCATGGAAAAACCAATTCAGTTTCATGAAGTAATGAGTGACATATTAAGTGATTTACCACAGAATTTTTGTACATTGGCATCAGGAGATAGAACTATAACTACAACAGTACTTTCAGAGTAAGAAACATGCAATAGATGTTAACATGAATATTCTCGTCAGATGTATTTAAAAAAAATCTACGAATCGTTACAATCAAGGCTATTGTATTAACTTCTTGATTACTTTTTCGTACGCACACATTGCAAGCCCGTTTATAATTATTTCTGTGTTTATATTTTATGATTTCTTTGTTTTTTTTTTTCTTCTTTAGATTTTTATGTGCGTAAAACAGTGATATGTTTTGCTAGTTTTTTTTTGATTTTGGATATAAAAATTAAATGAGTGATGTTTTCAGATATTAAAACGAATGGCAATGGCTACCGTGACGAATGATTTTTTACTAATAAATAATGATCATTCAGCATCGAATGCAATTGATCAAATGATTTCAATGTCAGTTATTGATCATGTCAATACAAATAATCAAAATTCTAATATATTATTGGGAGATCAATCATCTACTACTAGAAAAACTTCTTCCCCTAGGTTCGTATATCAAATGAAATAGGTCGAGTTTTTTGTACATCATTTACATAGTAATAAGATGAGCTATAATTGCATTTTCTTTTGTTTATCAATCATTTTAGAATTTCATGATCTATGTCGTTGAATAACTATTCATAGGTATTCTTTTCGAGAGAAGAAAAAGGTTTTCTGAAAATTTTTATACATGTATGAACTTAAATAAAGATAGTAATATTCAAATTGATACTGCATGAAAGCATTGAAAAATGAATTATTTCTATACACTCATAAATTTGATATTACACAGAAAGTTATATATGCACGAAATGACTTTCACAAAAATGGTAGAACCGATAATATACCCTAATAAATCATAAGTTAAAATCATATTGGAAGTTTCACTTAGAGTTAATCAAGTCTCTGAATCAAAATTTATGCGTGAGAGTAATGGTAACTTTTCCTTATCTTAATATCTCTCTCGATAATAGAATGTTCTTGTACATAAATATGAAAAAACTTTTTCTTGTTTTCAATAGACTATCTACAATCTCTAGTTGAATTATATATCAAAGAAATAGTAGGAATAAATTCGAAAATTTTATAAGATCATCAATGGAAAATAGTCAAGTTTTCCAATCAGAAAATTCTGACATTAGATCAATAATTTCTTTGTTTCTTGTTTCGAACTCCCAATGACGAAAACTATTTCTTTTAAGCTTCTAATTCAATTTGAAAAATAATAATATAACTAGATTAACATTCGAAGCTTCATAGATCAGTTTTTTTTTCATGTATTCAAAATCATTGATCATTTTCCATTAGGAAAAAAAAAATAAACGAATTTCTTGTTTTTGAACGTTGATTATTTCATTTCTTTTAGTCGTTTTCGTACGATTGAAAGTTTAAAACGACTCACATGGAATAATACTGGTCCTGAAAAATTAGTACGTGCTGAAATGAAAATATTCGAAACTTTAAGATCACAATTTCAAGGTCGTTATATCAATGTTTTAAATGATACACAAAAAGTCTGGACTGTTTGTTCAAATTTAACATCAAATAATATTCCTATTGTACTTGTACATGGTTTCGGCGGTGGTGTTGGCTTATGGAGTTTAAATCTCGATCAGTTATGTGCTGACCGAGCTGTTTATGCTCTTGATTTACCAGGTTTTGCACATAGTAGTCGACCAATATTTAGTATGGATCCTGATGAGGCTGAACAACAATTTGTTAATATACTTGAAGAATGGAGAATCGGAGTTGGACTTAATGAACGTTTTATACTTCTTGGTCATAGTTTCGGTGGTTTTTTAAGTGCATCCTATGCTATACGTTATCCAGACTATATTGAGCAACTTGTTTTAGTTGATCCATGGGGTTTTGGACGAAAACCAGATAATTGGCAAACATCACCTATGCAACGTATACCACCATGGTTAAGATCATTTTCAGCAGTCATGATGAAAATTTCTCCACTTGCTGGACTTCGTGTAGCTGGACCATTTGGTAAGCCAAAAACAAGATGCATTTTAAGTTATTTTATATAATTTTATGCAATTAGGTATTCATATAATGAAATATTTTCGACCAGATTTACGTGTTAAATTTGAAAAGTTATTTAATGATGATAGAATATTAGAGTATTTATATCATTGTAATGCTCAAGTGCCAACTGGTGAACAAGCTTTTCGGACAATTAGTGATTTACTTGCTTGGGCAAAAAGTTCGTATTTTCTTTAATATTATTTCTTTTTGTTTTTAATCTAATAGTTTTTGTTTTTCTTTTGCAGAACCTATGATTGATCGAATACATTTAATTGATCAACGCATTCCAATATATTTTCTTCATGGTGAGCAATCATGGATTGAAATTAATTCATCGATGATTGCTCAAGGAAAACGTGACAATGTTTATATAGATACAATCCAAGCAGCTGGCCATCATGTAAATAAATAAAATATATTTTTTTGTGTTTTAAATTAATCTATTCTTGATTTATTTATTTTTTTTTGTTTTTTAAAGGTTTATGCTGATGCACCAGATGAATTTGATATGTATTTAAAAAGAATTTTAATTAACAGAAATTGATATACTTTTATTAATGTAATCAAATTACAGATAAATTTATTTTTGTATAGAATATTCGTGCTATTTAAATAAACTGTGATCATTAAAAATAATTTCTAAAAAATAAACAAAACAAAATTTTTCATCAAAAGGTATCGCAATTATATTTATGTAATAAATTAGTTGTTTAGAGAAAAAATTTTATGTTATGATAAAAAGGAAATTATATTATTAAATGTTGGTTTGTTCCGATTGGATTGGTTAGAAAATATTTCGATTTCCTTATTTATATGTAATTCATTGAAAGAACAACATTGTCTTTAGTAATATGTAATTCAGTTTATGTTTACGATGAAGAAGAAAATGGCGAAGAGTTTAATCATATTCTGTTATTAAATGTATTAAATACAATTTTCTTTTGAAGTTGATGAAAAAAGCTAACTAAAATAATTGAAATACTATTTGTTGATTTTATTTAATTCAAATAATAAAAATGAAATTTGAACTATGCTTCGTTTTTCGTAGATGAATTTTTAAATTTTTTGTTGTTGTTAGAAGTTAAGTATTAATACATGTTTTATAAGATTGAATAAATCGAAGACTGACAAAGAAATACTGATTGATTATATGGATATTTTCTGTTGTGAGCGATTAATATGAATATGTATGATATCGATTAAATGCCTAGATTAAGTGATTAGTCATTCGTTGAATATGGTAGACTTGTTGAAAAGAAACCCTAAAATGAATATAGAAAATGAGTCATATTGCGTTTTTTTTTGTTAATAAGTATTGATCTTGTACATATTGATTTGTCGATGAACTGAATTGTTATTTCTTTTCAGGATGGTTAATTATGAAACTTTTTGAATATTCAAGACATCAATGGATTCTACACTATATGCTAACTTTTATTTATTTTTAATAAGCAAAAATAAATTTGTGTGTCTTTATGAAAATATTTTTTCGCTCTAAAACTGAAACTATTGAAATAATTAGTAAAATAATAGTCAATAGAACATCAATCGAATTTGAAAAAATAAAAGCATAAAGTAAATAAATGTATTCCAGGGAATAAATACGGAAGACTTTGAATTACTGTTTGAATCAATTGTTAATGGTGGATGCATTGAAAATCGAATGGCATTAAAAACTGATCTTTGACCTAATGCTTTCAGATAAACATTTTGACGTCCAGCATCAAGTACAAAATCACCAACTGATATCCAACGTGAAAGACTAGCTTGTTGATTATAGACATATCCATCATCTCCATCTGTATAATTATATGCATCTGTTACAGCGACATTTAATTGAGAATTTACATCTGTTGATGAACCAAAAAAAGATGGATTCCAAATTGATACAGTATAAACACCACGTGTAGATAAAATTGGATGAATAATACATGAATTATTAAAAGTTATTAATGATTGTCCAATATTATCTTTTGGAAGTGAGGATGTATATTTCACGAAATCATTTGTACAAGTATAAATATCTTCAGCATCAGTAGTAAATATTGTCGTTGATGGAGAAGCAAGTGAAAATTTATTAAGAATCATTTCAACAAAACGACCAAGGATATAAAAATCAGTTGTACGTCTTTGAAAACCATTACTAAATGCCGAAAGAATGATTTCTTTACCATTAGGTAATATAATATAAGCTATTTCTTCAACTGTATCATAAGCATTTCCAACTTTTGAATAAAGTATTGTACCAGCTGGTAAACCATTACCAAATGTTGTTAGATCACTTTCAAGTGTACGATAAAGCATAGATTTCATATATTGCAATTCATTATTTGGGCGTGTTTCCATTAAATAAAGCATAAATGATGCTGTACAACATGATTGTAAAAGATTACCTCGATAAGGAGATCTAAGTAAAACTAATTCACTACCAATTGGCGATTGACCTGAATTTGTTGGATATGTTTTAATTCGAATTATTTGATTTTCATATAATTTAAGTTCTTTTAATAAACGTTCAGTTGATAAACGTTCATAAAACCAATTTGACCAACGAGTATCATTAACTGAAGTTAAATTATCAATATTTGTTGTATTTGTTATAGCATCAACAACATAACCTGTATCTAAATTTGATGAAACGACAATCATTGGTCGAACATATCTATCTAAACAATCAATTGATTGACCTTGCTTTTTACACCATTCCATTGCTGAATGCATATACATTAATTTTACTGTTGATGCTGGATATGCTACTAAAGTACCATCTACACTACCCCTTTTCCATGTTTGTGTCCCTTTTTCTCTGATAAGTATTGTTGCAGATAACCGAGTAAAGTTACTTGATGGTTGTCTTGCAAGAAAATCATCACGAACTTCTTTAATTCCATTAGCTAATCCTTCATCATTAATTACTTCTATCGATGGTATTTCATTACATCCACATTCTTCACAGTGAGAATGCGAAATTAAAAGACAAAAAACAACTATGAAAAACTGAATAAAATTCATGCTGGTAAAGAAATGACAACTTTTGAAACTGATAAGATTCAAACAAAATATCAAAATAAGAACGAAACAAGGCTCTCGATATCAAGATTATAAATTTCATTACAGGTAAGTAAGACCTTTAAGAATATATTGACTTTTATGTCGCATTAAAAAACCTCATTGTGTCTATATACTTATTTGATGTATCTTTGTTAATTAGAAAAATAAGAACAATGACGTGTGATTTAGTACACGCCTACAATAAAGTGTTTAGTGTTAGAGAATGAAAGGAAATATAGGCGAGAAAAAAGAAAACAGCTAAGAAAAATCTTCAATAATTATGTTGATCTTTTTACTCATATAACAATCATCGTCTAACACTAATAATAGAAAGAGAAAAAAACGTTCATTATCTCTGAAAAAATGTTCCATATATGTATATATATATATATATATATATATAAAATCAAGACTAAACTGAACATAACTTTTGTTCGCTAGATTCCTCTTATTCCCCAAAGTTATAATCTATTTTATTTAAAAGAACTTATCATAATAGTTAAGTTACTGATTATTTAAAAGAAGATTATTAGAACAATCTCATCATCATGAAATCGGATTTATAATTACATCTACTGGAAGATATACATGTTCCGAACATAGGTAGTAGAATAGATTGAACATGACAGACTGTCAGATGTTAGAAAGAAACGAGAAATCGTAAAAGTATAGTCTTTTTTTAAATTGTTTATTCATTTTTAACTTTACAGAATTAGAAAAAAAGAGTGATTTAATTAGAAGTGGTTTTACTTCGCTGATTACTTATGTAGATTTATATGGTAGAAGTTAAACGTGTTGTAATTATTATTATTAAAAAATATTTTTCTCACCCCATATGCGATATATAAACCTTAATTATAATCGTGCATCGACGGGATTGCTCATTTCCAGAATAAAGTATATGTTTTAAAATAAATACAATTGTTTTTTTTTTCATCATTAGATTATTATAAGCAGTATGATAGAAAGTCGTGAAATAGAGACAACAAGTATATGATAATATTTTTTCACCCCAGTGATAAATTCGATTTTTTTCTTTTTCTTAGCGTTTAACTTGAAATAATGCAGATTTTAACCTAACTTTTTTTCTTAAATATACATTACCAATATAATCAAATGTTTATTAGTATTATTTTTTATTTTAGTTACAAATAATGTCACAATTTTTTAGTTTACCGATCTTGATGATCATCTATCTCTTTGTTTTTCAATCAACTACCATTGAATGTCGCTCACTTACTCAAAAAATTGTTATTCATGGTCATGAATGGACTGTACCCAATGAGCCTGGATGGGAAGAAGGTAAAATTTTTTTGAAATTTCCTGTTAAAAAGAAAAATTCATTTTTCTTGTTATTTTATACTTTATAGTTTTACGAGAAGTAGAACCAATTCGTCATAGATTATTGACTACCTGTGCTACAAGTCGTGAATGTCGATTAGCTGCTGAGCAATTACGTCGTGTCTTTTTAAAATATCCTGTTTCGTCGAAATATTACGATGATTCCTTACGAAATGATAAATACACATATGATCCCAGTTCAATTTTTAAATGGGGATAATCTATTTGTGCTTGTCTAAATGACTAAGAGACAAAATAAAGAAAACATAAATAAAAATCTATTCTACTTTTACTTGATTTTTTCATCATAGTAACAAAACATATAGTTTCAACAAAATTATGACGTTTCATTTTCATTGAAATAATGTATTTTTATGTCAATTAAAATAAGTCATTCATCATTATTTATTTATTTCTATATATAAAAAAAAATTCATAGGAAAATTAAGTTTTCTGATGAATACTAAGCATTATATGCTCTTGAAGTATGATGCGTCTAAAATCTTTGCATCAATCAATGAATATTTGACAGCTATATGCTACCTATTCCTTAAATAAAACACATTACTTTTCGAAAGACTGCATTAGTGGTTGCTTGAATCAAATAAATTACACGATAAAATTGACTGAATGAACTTTCGCATTTGTTTTTTGAAATAAATTGTTTCAACACAAAAAAAGAGTAGAGATCTTATCAAAAGCATATGTATATATAAGAATACCTGTACGAATTTTTTTTTTAATTTAAAATGAAATATGTCTATAATTTTGGATACTTTAAATTAAACATTTGTTTTTCTTATATTGAAACTTAAGTTAAATTTGATATTACAAGTAAAATCAATTTTTTTCTAAGAAGACAATAACATTTCAGACATAACATCCATTTGTTGACGAAAATACACAATTTGATGGAAAGTGTGCATCTCATAATAATCAAAATTTTTTTGTTAATGTCACCAAAAATGAATAAGAGTTTTTTTTTTCTTGAAACTTTATAATGCCTCTTTGAATAATTCGTTTTTTTACATCTCTCTTACATTCTCAATCCCTTCAGATCCTTCTGTGGCCATGAATAATTCCATTCAACTGTGAATCATGAAGAATAATCAATTTTTATTATTACTATTAGACTGCTAAACAAAAATAGCTGCATTTTCATGAAGTGCTACTATTTTTATTATGTTCACCTGGTGTTTGAGATGTGAACGTTCGACAATAAACCTTGATCTCAAACACCAACTTGCCATTCATTGTTTAACAAATACGGAAGTTTCGGTGTAGAAAACATGTTCAGCGGAAATACGCATGCAAACCACTTTTCTATGTCGTTTAGCTATTCCATATGCTTCTAATAACGTTTTTAACTCTAAAAGAAATCCCATATGTCGATTTTATTCTCACCAAAATCAGTGACGTATAGCCAATATCTGAGTCATTAGTACGATCTGAGATAGTAAACTCATGTTGTAGCACTAAATTTACTTCATTTCATGTTATAGGTATTCTAAAACTGTCAGCTTAGATTTACTGTCTCATAAACATCTTCTGATAAAATTTTCAAATGAACGAGTCAAAGTCATTGCGGAGAAGATCCCTCTTACGAAAAACCAATATTTGCTCTTCAATAGGTAATATTCTTAATCAGAAGACAATATCTCCGTTGTTTCTAAGTAATTACTAACAACATTTGCACTAAAAATAGCAAAGATATTGAACTTTCGAATGAGAAGATTGGACAAAACAAAAACGTTTGTGCCAATACGATTGAAATAAAGTGACCACAAGAGGAAGATGATGTCCGAACCATAACTCTAATACATGTGAACAGATACAGAACGCTTTTGTATTTTCGATTAAAGTTTATTGTCGTATCCACACACGCAAATTAGCAGTTCAACATAATATAGAATATTTGCGCTTCATGGAAGGCAGCTACTTTTGTCAAGAACCGTAGCTTTTAATTGCTGAACTATTCAACACATTACAATTGCTATTCAATAAAAGCAAAAACTACGTGTCTCTGGATAAAAAAAAGCATCAAAATGTGTAGTAGCATTAAAAATAATGTATTCAAATTTATAACACTGAAAAATCTAACAATATTGAAGAAATATGTGTTGATTTCAGAGCGATAAAAAGTGCAGGAAAATAATACAATGAAAAAGTAATTTCTTTGAAAATTCGTATTTATTTCGAGAAATATTTAATCACCACACATACATATACTTTATACTTGACATTCGAATACAGATTATTAAAATCTATAATACTTGTTCTTATTTAACAAGCTTCAAAGAAGAGAGCATATCAAAATCCTTCTAAAATTATATCACAAAATGAATTCAATCTTAAAAAAGAAGCCAGATATCAACACTTTTTCTGACAAAAACCATATTCACAAGTAGCTAATCATCATTTTTCTTCGTAATCAAAGATTTGTAAAAAAGACAGATCGTATTCTACATCAATCATTTAGTTCATCTTTTTCAGTTCTTGCCGTAGTCTAGTAAACATATTATCATTGGTATTATCTTAACATAAATACAGTAGTCAGACTTGAAATGGTTTTTTATCATAACATTGTTCCTTCTCACTAAAATTAACGAAATAATTATTTTATGAATTATGTTTATTCATTTTTTGTTATTTACATAAAATCAATATTTTTCTTCGTATTCATTTTGTAATTTACAGTGCTGGCCAAAAGTCCCTCACACCCCTGAACTTCACTCATAATAAGAGTTAGACAGCTGAAATTTTGTATGTATATACTCTATGATGAATGCTGATCTTAGGCACCAGCTCCGTCATAATTGCTCGAGCTAGAACGGAGTTATAATAGGTAGTAATCATGTCCCTTTGTGAAACCCATAATTCGAGAAAGAAAAGATCTTTTGAGTCGGCCAACATCTCATTGTGTAGCGCTCTATTCTGGTTATCTACAATATAAATTTCAGTGAAGTTCATCGAGTCGTTGTAGAGTTATGACCATGTTACTGTAATCATTGATGTACACGAAAACCATGTAATGGCATTATGAAATTCATAACTCAATGAAAGCTTAATGGATCCATGTGAAATTTTCAGGAGATGTTCCCTAACAGTTGCCCATTATTTCCTGAAAGTTTCAGAAGCAAACATTGTATTAGAAGAAAATGGTACATTGCTCATCATCAGGTACTTGTCAAAGCTCTAGAAGTTCAAATTCTCGAGCAAATGTACTCATCTTTTTACCAATAAAAGATAATATATGGGGCTTCATTTTGGTACTCAACTATTGATAATTANTGCTTCTGGCCAACAGTATTTCAAAAAAGTTTATCAGAAAGTCTGGATGAACGGAAACGGTGGCATAGCTAGTTCGATAGAGCAGCTCTTGCTCTACAACGTACACTATTTATCTTTCTCCTCGACTGCAATTTGGTAGCACACGAGCATCAAAACTATTTTTGATGACAATTTCCTTAGTGAGTTTTAGTGAACCTGATCTTCAAAACCGGTGAAATACTTGGATTAGCAGGTCTCAATTTATTGAAACTCTGCAGAACTTGTGGAGTTTTTTGAGCTGATCATTTTTGTATTGAATGATTGAATATTTGACTCTATTTTCATGAACATATAGGCGAAATACGATACACATGCATTTTTGCTTCTTCGATATTATGCCTAAAAAATTGATTTTTTTGTAAAAGTGAAACTGATAACGGCTTTGTTTTAACTTAAACCTAGAGTGCAATAATTTAATCAGACTTAGCGTGAAAAATTACATGAAAATACCTATGAAATATATGACCTTGAAAATGCCTAAACAATCATGTAATCTCCTTTTGAAACTATAGTTTGTCCTGTCTGATGCAGTTGAATGTAAAATGACTAAAAACAAATTAGAAAATGAAATATTCTAAAATGAGCAAATTATTGGTTCGATAGATCATAATTATTTCTACAACATGTACTAATTAGTTCCCTTCGCAACTTTTAACTCAGGAAGAAAAAGTTATTGAAAAGTATTACATGTTAGTGCCTTGATCTGTATAGGAGGTCTATTTCAATATGACTTCTGTGGTGTGCTCGCTGAAAGACTTGATTGATTCTTATGGTAGATTAGATGCATTAATTGTATGATGATTCTAAAACGAGAGAGTCAATAAGGAAAACTGAATCATTGTTCATCCATCGTGTTTTCGATTACAGTTGGTTGCGCTCCAGCTAGAATCTTGAATCTGTGGATCGTTGTAGTATCGGATTCTGAAAGCAGACCGCATGAAATACTTCCGTTGGTGTGAGCGTCGAATTGATGAATATCATGTATTCCAGTGATAGAATCTAAAGAAAGCTAGTGTTTTCTAGAGAAACTGCTGTAAAAAAAATTATACCTCTAGAAGAAAGTTGGTTCCATCGGTACCGTAAATTCTTTTCATATTCAATGTTGATGAGATCAGCAGGTAGCCAACGAATTTCAATAGGACGATTTGGTTCTGACATTCGACTTGTTGCCGAAGTCAAAGCTCCCAACGAGCAAGATCTTGCCACTACCATACGATCATTTTTTTCAAAACACCATTGGAAAAATTGTTTGGGAGATGTAAATGAAGCACTTGGTGGACCTTTCAGTAAATGTTGTGTAGCCATCGATTTTACGACAGCACCTACGCCGTCACATGGACCTTTGCCATGACCTGTTGCACTGAATGTCCATGATGCTTCAATTTGAAAGTCTATCTAATGATGAACCAAGTTGTACATATTATATTTATCTAACACAAAAGGATGTATTTCATGAAAATGACAGTTAGAAGTACTAAGCACTTACTTTTGAAGTGAGCCGATGCGCCATCACTCACATAATTGATTTTGGAAATGTTATGATATTCTTGTCGAAGAAAATCGACAATCAGTTTTAGTGCACAATAAACAAATTTTGTGTCATGTGCAAGATAATCCGAGATAAATACCATATTACGATGTTCTTCACCGACCTTTATATAGACTGTGAAAATAGTAGCTTGCTGACGCGAATAATACCCTTATTGAATTTCTCTCTGAACAACCAGAGAGAAATTTTGAGCGAAATCGATTTGAACAATAGCATAGGTAGTAAGGGTGTGGGTGGGTGTGTAAACTTTATGAGATTTGAAGAACGACCCTAGTCAAGCATCTTGTGGTATGCGCATGAAGTACATGAGCATTTGGTGTAACACAAGCCATATATCATGGACATTTGATCAATGAGAGCACTTATAGAAAATAAACAGTTTTACAAATTGTACTGAAAAGCTATTTTTTTTAAAGAAAAGTTACTGGTAAATAACAATTTTCATTATAAGGAAAACTTCTGTAAATTATTGATGGCATAAGGATTTGTTCAATATAGGTTTCTTTTGATCTCAAAGGATATGGTGAAATATACAGAGGATACGAGGTTTCCACCAAAGAAGTTTTCAATTGAGTTCATGTGTTAGATGATGTAAAATTATATGCATATATTAACTTATCTTGAAGATAATCGAAATCTTAAAATAAATTATTATTACCAGTTCGGTGTAAGATGAATTTTGTCAAAGAAAACAAAACATGTAGAATAGATATTGACCAAGCGGATTTTTTTTGTTATTGAGAAACTGATACTCGCAATGCACGAGCAACGGTCATCAATTTGGGCTTAGCTATGAAGAGTTTTCATTTAAGTCAGAGAGAGGCTTCGAAGAGGTTTTATTATAATTTCTAGTATGCACTCAAGTTTTACTCCGATTGTAAGGTAAGTTGATTGGGAAGGAAGACGGGAGGAGTCTTCGTGATGAGAAGCCGCTCGCTCACATCCATATTTCAAACTCGTGTTTTTTTGAATATCATTTTGTGTAACTTTACTTTTTGATGAAAATTCCTTTACAGTTCAAGTAGTTTCTCTCGATTCGATTTTTGATTCCATGATACAATGATTCAAATTCAAAAAGAAGATTATGACATTCATAGTAACACTTATGTCTAGCCAACTCTATAAATTACAGCTAATTTAATAGAAAGTGAAACCTTTACAATTTATTTCTATTTGAATGATTAAAATTTGAAAAGCAACCGAAATACAATTTAACAGTTTATCCATTGCCAGTTTATGCTCCCAAATGAGACGATGCATGCTTATCATATAATGAAGAAAAAATGTAACGTATCCGTTTTTTTCTCTAGCTAATTATTCTCAAACAAACACACTTCAATGTTGAATACTCATAAGTGAAAATCAATGTACGTTTTAATGAAAATATTTTCATATTGTTTACCAGTTGCCTGGAATTTCTTCAAGATTATTTTTTGTGGCAAACTTTGACGGTCACAAAGTTTTTAGACTATCGTTTTAGGTGATAATAGAATGTTTATGTTTCAGTTAAAATTAATTTTTGACTAGTGATCAGCGCGATCGCCTTGACTCACGATGGTCTCGGTCACGATCACAGTCACGAGTATCAAAATAATCACATAGACTATGTCTGTGTTAACTATATTAGGTAAACAAACAATTTCATACCCTTAATTTATAAGGATAATTTAGTCGTTTTTTCTTAATCAAAATAGCTATACATAGATATTACAGGAGGAATTAGAACTTAGGAGTATTTGAACTTATTCTAGGACAAGTGAAAGTAGAGAGGAAGGGCCAGATGAAGTTTTAATTTGTCTTACGAAAATTTAAAAATTTTTCTGAATTCTAATTTCTCCTGAGAGTAGTGCCCTGTTGGAAAGTTTTAGTCTCCTTTCGTCAGAAATTCGAGAATGGAAACGATATTAATACAAAATGAGCGATCCAGAAAATCTTTTTGTTTTATATTTATATTTTCCAAACTTTAGCCTTTCAAACCAAAAATGTCGAAATAGATTTTGACATGTTTCTCAGAAATTTTGCATTGCTTAGTAATTTGAAAAAAATAACAATAAGGAATACCTATCAACAAAAATTAGACAAGTTCATTCATTATTCATAAAATTGTAATTCAATTACCACAACTACTAATATCTTTGTGATCATTATTTTCGAAAGAACTATTGTTCAGATCCTCTCTCAATTATAGCATTATTATTATCTTCTCTTGAATATTTTCGTTTTTTCAAGGGTATTATAGTTGTTCTCTATATAATTATTCAATTCATGAAGGAGAAAATTATCTTAACTTAGCATTGATAAATTTTCACGTATAAATAATAAGTGATTTATTTTACTAAAATGTGCTTACAATGATAATTTTATTTTTAATTTAAGCCCCCTCCCTCTCAGAATTGATTTACCACTTCGAACAGGCCATTCGGGCTGAAACTTTCAGAAATGTATAGTCCCAATGAGAAACGCTTATGGTAAAAAATTCAGCCTGATATACCCTACTAGAACGCACTTCCGGCCTGTTTTTTCTAGCTTCCAGGAGAGTTGAAATAACTTCATTGTTAAAAGAGATACAGAACTCGGACTGATTTCAAATTAAAGCTGGTCTCTGTGCATAACTTTTAGTCGGACAGAATTGTGAAGCTACCTTCCATTCATTTTTTATGAGCATTTTGGTGAACATAGTGTCCAAAGTAAGCATAGAAAATGTAACTTCACTACAGTAAAATCTCATTTTTCTCAGCCCAGGAATCAAGTATCAAAAATTCGTCCGATGAAAAGTTAGCTCTGATTCAGACCTTTAAAACAAAAAAACACATCTGTTTTAGCCTGAGCTGTGTGGGAGTTAATTCAATGTTTCTGTCAGAAAACTATGTTTTGAGAAAACCGCTAAAGAAGTTTTAGAAATGAATTTTTTCATTGAAATCCAGAAAAACCACATTAAAATGGTATATTCATAATGTGTGAAAGTGTAATTTTTTAAAGAGCATAAAAAATGATTTAAGCTACCACTGTCGGTCATATTTAAGTAAATATAATGATTTATTCAATGCCGAAACAAATAAAAGGCAGTTTTCTCAAAACTGGAAAAATTTAAAAAAAGGAAAATGCCTAAAACAAAACATGATAGACGAGTCGCAATTACTTTCGAAGATCTCTTAAAATTTGGCCCTTTTTCAAAAAGCTATATATATATATATATTCTGAAAGGGGAAATTTCGCTACATCTTCCTATGTTAAACACTCAACTTCGAGCTTTTTCTGAAAAATTAGATTTTGTGAGAAGGGATTTGCTTAAGGTCATGTCACGTTGTATAATATACAACGTTGACAAAAGCTAATGTCTACTATGGTAGTTTTTCTCAAACATATACCTATGACCCAAAACATAATAAAAGTCTATGTTTTGTTAGAAATACAGTTAAAAGATAACTATATTGGTAACTATTTCATTGAACCGATTCGAATTAATTAAGAACATAGTTTTCTACTTGGTTAATAACTTCATTGTTTTTCTGGAACTCACATATATTTTCGAAGAAAAAAGTGAGTGTAAGTTTTAAGTTCAAGTTTTCGGGCTCCCTCCTCCCACCGCATTACAGACACCCCCGCCCAATTACAGACTTTAGCAATCAATAATAAAAGGTGTTAGATTTTTTCGAGTTTTTTTTGGAAAATTGATGAAATTATAACTTTGAAAAATGCTGAATATCATTATTTGTGACTTCCTTAATATATATATGATAGTGTGTAAGGTCTGCTGTAGGTATCATAGATATGTAAAACACACTTATTTGTCAATCAATTCAATGATTATAATAATAAGAATGATAAATTACGAAAAACAAATTCAAAAAAAAATAAAAAAATAATAAGCGAATAGCAAAAATACAAACAAAAAATAGGATACACATAGAAAAAAGTTTAAAAAAAGAATTCTGTTCGAAATGCAGAAATTAGAGAGGTTCTTACTCTTGTGATTGATTATCCTGCAAAACAACTGTAGTCTAAAAGAGATTTTTCAGTTTACGTATTTTGTATTAGTTGAATGAGGCTACACTCTAAATAAAAATCGTTTTCTTGGAAACTGACAAAAAAAGGTTTTCAAGATTAGCCCGAAAACCCTTTTGGGCATAAAAAAACCAAAACCTTTTTTTGTCGGTTTCCAAGAAAACGATTTTTATTTAGAGTGTAGAGAGCATGTGTGAGTTTCACATTTCAGCCCGAAAGGAACTGCGCTAATAAGCTTTTATTAGCTTTTGCCCAGATCGTGATCAAAAAACCTAGTTATTGCTAGCACTATTTATGACCTATTCGCAAATTGGATTTATCGTTAGAGAATACATTTTAGCAAAATTCATTTATCAGAACGGAAAACTTAGTGTCATACACAAATGTAAAACAAACAACTGTGAGAAAGATAAAAAACAACATATAACTTAGTATCACTAAGATACTCGAAACATTCCATTGATTATATAAATAATTCATTTTTGTCCTACAATTGTTTGAAATGGATGCTGATAAAAAACATTCTCTAACGAGAGGTTTGGTTTTCGAATGAGTCGTAAACTAATTGTATTTCGAATACAAACATTCTATTTACTGCCTAAAACGATGCTCTAAAAACTTCATGATAGTCAAAGCTTGTCACAAGAACGTTCATGGAGAAATCTCAGACAACTGATAAACAATATGAAAAAATTTTCACTGAAACTCACATTGATGTTCGCTTATGAGTATTTAATTTTGAAGTGTACTTGTTCGAGAATATCTAGCTAGAGAAAAGGGTGGGTGTGTGATTCCACTCTTGATTAACACACCCACACCCACACCCTCATATACTTTTTTTTCTAATTAAACATTAGAACACTATTCTATGATGAAGAACATAAATGTGAATACTCTTATTTATTCATTATGATGAATTTCATAACTATAACAGAGAAAAGAACTTACAAAAGATTCATTAATCATGTGAGATGTTTCTCTGTCAAACAAGACTAGTATTCCAATATATTATGGTAAATTCGTTCGTTCCTTTGTCCGCCTATTGATTGTTTTTATGATTGGCTGCTTAGTTGAAACCAATAAAATGTTTTGTTTAGCAGTACTTTATCAACATTGAGTTAGTATATAATAAAACAAGTTTTTCAGTTTATATTCGAATAATAAACGCTTACCTATTGTTCACATGACATGTATTAGGGAATAAATTACTATTTAAATACTTGAAAGATGTGCCGTTGAATTTTCGAATTATAGCCCATTAATCTTAATTTGTAAGAACCGTTATTTTAAAAACAAAACTTCTCAATTAAGAGAAAAGTAGTTTTGAATGAATCTTAATCGAATCAAGAACACTTGTTGATAATATCTTACAAATGTTTGATTTAAAAACACTCTTGTCATTCTATCAGTTTTTGTGAAAATCCAATGATTTTGTTTATGTTCTAGATGGAATCATCGATTAATGGATCACCTTTATTAAATCATGCAATAAAAATACGTGGAAAAAATGTTGAGTTACGAAAAAAAATTGCACTATTACAAAATGATATTCAACTAATTGAAAAAGATATTTTAACATTAACAAATACATATGATGATCTCGTTGAACAATGTCGGGTCTTACATGAAAAACAAACAGATAGGAAGAAAGATTCGTTATTAGAAGAGTACCAAAACAAATTTAATAACTACATTCATGATATTGAAAACTATATAAATAATAAAGAATGGAATATTTCTTCAATTGAGAAAACAGAAATTTCACGTAAGAAAAAAAGCTTTTGAATAGAAATTATAAATTCATCATATATATAAAAAAAAGAAATAGTAAATTGAATTTCCATTAGGAAAGATTCTGCTGCTATGCATTTCTCTAATATAATGTTACCAATGAAATTTTTGTACAAACGACGTTCGAGTCATCTAATGTATAAAATTCCATGTTTTCAGTCTGGAGTCATTCCATATAGCATAAATCTTTCTTTTCAAACGAACGGTTGAAGATTACCCATTTGATGTTAACCCATGCCTAATATTGTTAGGCAGTTCTATTTTCATAACACCTGATATGAGAAAAATAAAATCATTATATAAGTTATACCTGCTGAGACGTTATACAATTCTCTCTTGAAGCTAATCTTCGAAATTGTATAATTGAAAATTGATTTCTAATATGATTAATGGTCTTAGTAGGAGAGGCAATCATCATAACCAGTCCAAAATCAAGATTATTTGACTAAATAAAATATGAAGAATGCAAATCTGATCTGATTCAATTCGAACCCGAGTACCAATTTTTTTAATAACTCAAAATGAGAAAACAACTTAAATTTGATTAGCCAATTCGACAACTCATATATGTATATGTATATATATAGATAACTTTTCTGTTCTAGCATCAAAACCATCTCCATCTGTTGAAATTGGTACTAAAATTGAAGAATTACCAGTTCAAACCTTAAATGATGATCTCAATCAACAATTAGCATCTGTAGAAAATTGGCTTATGGAAAGTGCTGTTACTGATATTAATAAACAATGTCCAATCATAACAGAACATCAAAATACAAATGATGGAACAGATGATTTATATCAAGATTTAATATTTCCAACATTAACTGATGAGCTTCCTACACAATCAGAACAAATTCATTTTGATGAAAATAATCATCAAGAACAATTTGTTACAGCAATATCACCAGAAAATTCCAAGCAACAACAACGTCCAGATAAAAATCAACGACGATTTGCATTGATGAGACAATTAGCAGAAAAATCGAATAAAACAGTAACAAGGAAAATAATATAGTATAATAACATTCGAACTGATATTCATCGTGCAGATAATCTTTTTTTTTTATATTCAATATTGATTCAGATGAACATTTTTGTTTTATATATGCATTTTATCATTATTTCGTGTATTGGAATCTTCTATACACCAAGTAATATCCATAGATGATGTTATCGGATAATAGTACTTTTCATTTGGTGCTAATCGTTTACGTAACTTCAGATATGTTTGCCGTCCAGTACTATAGTCTATTATAGAATTATCTTGTGTTACTCCATGATAAAGCAAATGACGAGCAGTCGGTTCAACAGGTAGCATTATTGGCCGATGCAATGGCTCATTCATATTCCTATTAATAAAACACACAAAAGAATTTGTGTTCTCTAGTTGAGAAAAGTAAAAGTCAAGATGATCGAAATAAAATAATATTCTGAAAGGATGCCTTTGCACAGGCACTATCTCCATCATAGATGCTACATCTTCTATATAGATTGTGTATGTTTAGTCTCGCTTTTGTAAAAAACCGAATCATTTTCATTACACTCTCCTATCCTATCTCTTGCATCCTGAGTATATGACAGACAATACTGGCTTAGTTTGACTAAATCATTGATTTGTTTTGATTTTATATTTAATCTTTGAGTATATTTTCTTTTTTCATAAAGGATAAATTCTTTTAATAAATTCGATCTATTCATATAATCCCATTGTTGCCAAGCTAATATTAAATTAGTTCCATATGGTAAATATTGTTTTATTTCATTATATTTTCTCCACCATTGACGTCGAATTGTTTCTTCTTGTTCAATATTTTCTTCCATAGTATTTTTTCAAATGCGCCTTTTTCAAATTGTTGTTACTTTGTTTGAGATATCTATTTTTCAAACAAGTCTTTTTCTGTATGCCATCCAAAAGGAAAAGAATGGAAAATATTCATATTTTTTCGATTTTAGATTATAGATATGATGTATTCAATTGCTGCACGATATTTGACAGTATTAATAGTTTTGTTTGCTTTTTTTTTATTCACTTATTTTTCTTGTTTTTTCTATTAAAAGAAGTCAGCTATTCAAAGTTTAACACATCAAGCATCACTACATATATCTCCTAAGAATTTTTATCCTTTGATTCCAATGGTTATCGAACAAACTGGACGTGGAGAACGTGCTTATGATATCTATTCACGTCTATTGAAGGAACGTATTATATGTGTTATGGGTCCAATAACTGATGAATTATCAAGTGTAATTATTGCTCAACTTCTTTTTCTTCAATCAGAAAGTTCAAAAAAACCAGTTCATATGTATATCAATAGTCCAGGTTTGTCAATCAATCATTGCAACATTTTTCTAGTAATTCGATTATTTCAGGTGGAATTGTAACTGCAGGTCTTGGAATTTATGATACAATGCAAGTATGTCAAAATTTAGTTATTTCAATATTAGAATAATTTTTTTCTTATTTGTGAAGTATATTACACCACCAATTGCAACTTGGTGCGTTGGTCAAGCATGTTCAATGGTGAGATGAGTTAAACAAAAAGGAGAAGAATCCAAATAAGTCTTTTATTCTACCAGGCATCACTATTGTTAACATCAGGTACACATGGTTTACGTCATTCATTACCAAATTCGTATGCATAAATTGATCAATATGAAATAGAGAACATACTTTTTTTCTGATTTTATAGAAGAATTATGATTCATCAACCATCGGGTGGTGTACAGGTATTTGAAAGTAAACTGTCTTCTTTATTTTAGTTCTTTTGATTATTTTATGAAAGGGTCAAGCAACAGATATAATGATTCATGCGGAAGAAATTTTGAAATTAAAACGACTGATCAATAAACTTTATGTAAAACATACAGGTCAAACAGCTGAAGAAATTGGTAATGAATTACTTTTTGTTGTTGTTTGTATCGAACTGTTTTTATTTGTAGAAAAGCTACTTGAACGTGATCGATTTTTTGACGCAGAAAGTGCTAGACGCCTTGGTCTTATTGATAAAGTTCTTGAACATCCTATTCAAGATATAATGAATGAAAATGAGAAAAATTCTAAAACAAACAATTAATTCATTTATTAGTTAGTATTCTCTTTGATTCTATGTTACAATTATATGTTCTTAAGAAAATAAAAATCTAAAAAATTAATAAAAACTAAATTTTTACACTCATCAATCTTATATNTCATATGTGTACAAATCCGATAATGAAAGATATGTTATCGGATAATGTAAATAAAGATCAATCAAAGATCCTACTTCTTTTTCAACCATATTGAATCTTATTCTTCAAAATAAATTTAATCTAGAAAAACAACATACTTATGAAAGATGTTGAGCAAAATTTCGAACAAACTATATTCACATTCTTTTATTTTTGTTTTTTTCTTCTCGTCTTTTTCTTTTCTTCATTTCTCGATTTTTTTTATCTTTTCTTTTTCTCAAATGCAGATTCTAGCGCTCATATTGTCTCATAATAAAATTTGGGATAATAAGTCATGACAAGTCAATGTAATGTATAATAAAGCTTACTGAAGGGTATTTATCTATCTCGGAAAATTTCTTCTTTGAAAACATATGCAGATTGAAATAGAATATCAGATTTAGAAAACACATTTAGCAATAAAATTGCTAAGAAAAAAAACGAAAGACTTTGTTCTGAAAATATTATTCATGTAGTCAACAAAATGAATTAAATTACCTTCATCTTATAAATGAATCGATTACTTAAATTCGGATGGTTCATAAAAATCATAAGTGTAATAATTATCTGTTTCTTCTCTCTTTTTTTTGTAGAAGCTACTTATTTTTCTAGAAATGTTGTACTCAATTTTATTTGTTCTGTTTATGTTGGCATTAAATTTTTATCTTCTTAAATATAGATGGGAGAAAGCAACGTTCTAAAAGCATATCTATAATGGCCAACATTATCTTGTTCATTATGAGTGTCTTCTTCCGTTATATTCCCTAGTCGATATGATGTTTTGTGCATCTTTCCTTTCTCTCAGATTGTAACAACAACAAAAAAATATGGTTGGATAGATAGAGAATAGTTCGTCTATGGAGAAAAATGCTTTATATATTCTCATAAAAGCATTAATGAATACTCAGGTATTCTTATTGAAACTTAATAAATCAATGCAATATTGTTTTTCATATTGTGTACTTTCGTCATAGGAAAAAAATTAGATATATGATTTTTTTTAGAAATATTAATTAGAAAATTAAGTATACACATAGAAATATTTCTTTTGGGAATATTAGGTTATTTGTAAATGTCTTTATGAAACTAGTGAAGACAATGTCACTATTTTATGTATACCTATTGCATGATAACAAATTTTGTTTCCAAAAAGTAAAAATCAATATCTATTGTTAACCGCTCACATCATAACACTTCCTGCAACACTACGAAAAGCATATATTGTTAGTCTAATTCAATAAGTCTTTAAAGTTGATGTAGTGTTGCTACTCGATGTTACTTTCAACATTGCGTGTATGAGAGATGATTTTATCTAAAAAGTAACATCTCAATGAAATTATATTCATTGATTGTCGTCGTTGGAATTCTTCTTATATAAACTTATTTTGACAACAAATCTTTCCATGAGAAATAATATAAAAAAAACATGCATCAGTGATAAAAATTCTGACGTCATAAAAAAATGTCATAAGCACTTGTCAATATACAAAGAAAATAAACGAAGAGGAAAAAATATTTTTAAAAACTTTTATCAATTTAATATCATTTGATAAAGTAAATTATTCAATCATTAAATCATTTCAAAGATTATAATTTATGATACACAATACAATTAACAGAATAGGACTTAAATTAATAAACCTTTCATTTTTTCTTAAAACAATAATAAGAATGTCCTATGTAAATTTTTGTCGAATTAAAATGCGTTCTCTACGAAGAATCAAGTACTTGTGAACATACTTTTTTGAATAAGATGTAGTTAAATGTGTTTTGAAGCAATGTCAACATGTTTGAATGAGTTTATATAAGAAACATGTTTCCTGTAGTTGAATATAAATGCGTTCGAACACAACTAATATGCAACATTTGATTTATCTAGAATCGTCCGATGTTACATTTTAGCTGCATCTTACGTATGTTTGGTCTATTCATGAGTGTTTTTATTCTCGATAAATCTGAACTAAATTAATACTTGAGAATATTACTGAGTAATTTGATTATTTTTCATTGATTACAAAAAAGATTGTTGGTGTTAATGATACAATGACAGCTTGATGAAGTCAAAGTAGAAAGAATATTATGAGAAAGCTATAATCAAAATTCTTCTAAATTATAAGATCTGAAAAAATTGTCGCGCAAACTTCTGAGCCAGGCTCGGATATTACCATCACCCATCGAGTCACTCTGCTGTTAATGAGAGAATATTTTCTTTGTATTCATCAGAGGAAGTCTCATAAATAGATAGATATTTCTAAGACTTATTATGATAAGTCGAAGAAAGAAACCATAAGAACTAAAATATCTTACACAAACATTGTCATCAATCACATTTATAAAAATCATTTACACTGAAAAACAACTATTCAAAAAAAGTCACTGAATGTTATACCAAAAGTTTCTTTGGAATATTCGATTGTTATTTGTAAATGTCAATGAATAAACCAAAGCGCATATTAACATTTAGTTTGCTTTCGTCAAGCATTAAGGTCCTGGAGAATTAGATCACTATGATGCAAATCTTCAGATACATTAGTGTCATTTAAGTATCCGTTTTTTTTTCTTTTGACATATGATGACAAACATTATAAGATTGCTAGCGCGGACAAATATCCTGCTCTACTTATTCCTTTGATCAAATGTAATGATTGCTAGATTTTTTAAAATATATTCTCTAGTTCTAAAAGTCATTTCCTCTATATAAGCTGATCGAACTGAAAACAATATATTTATGATTTCCTTTGTCAAATAGAGATTAGTCATTTTCATGTTATTGCGTGATTAGCAATCTTATTTTTCATCGGATAAGAAAAAAACTCATGTGTGATAAAATAAAACAAATTATCAATACTTCCTTTATACAAAGCTTGATTTAATATGAGAAATAAGAATTTTTAATATGACAATAAAACTATAGTACTTCATATCAATATAATTAATATTATGAAAAACAAGAAAGACATAACTTAAAGTATCATTTTGACCTTCTGAACAAGATCTATTCAAACAGAGATCTTTATTGCATATTTGAATAAATAAATTGCATCTATTTCCTTAATATTATGGTATGTTTTTTTCTTAGTAATTGATGTGTACAACAATATTTGGTATCAATAGGAAATTGTGTAGAAGTTAATTATTCATCTAGTATAAAAAGACAAAGNCCGTAATAATGTTTTTCATTCTTAGTATCAATGATAAAATAACTGAAATATTTGAAGAACTTGATAATGAAATGAAAGATTTCGAAAAAAAACCAACTGATCATTATATTGACACAAGTTGTGCTGGGGGTGATGATGCTGGTGCAGTTATTATCGGTAACACCAGTATGACAAATGAAAAAAAAACAAAAAAATAATTTCGAGTACGAAGAAAAAAAATATTTTTTTAAATAATAAAATTCCTTTAATAGTTTATGTTGGTGATGATTTTGGATTAGATATAAATGCATTTAAACATCTTATGAATTGATCAACTGAAGATATTATTGAAGAACTTGATTATAATTCATCATCATCAACAATCATTCGTATACACTCATCCTCTATCAAATCGATTAACAACATATACCTTATGTTAAGGGAAATTGATCAAAAGGTGTCCTACTATTGTTTTTTTTGTATTACCATCCGATTTAATTATTATGGATGAGGATAATATACAAGAAATAAAATTTCAACGAACAGTATCTGATGCTGTGTTACTCTCTCTATTGTCTTGTTAATATACGCATAGATCAAAACGTGTTCATTTAGGTTTAAGTTATTTAAGCATATTAACAAATCATTTTGATTTAGATCATGAATTTCAGCATGATCAACATACTAAATATTTTGTTGATGCATAAAAATAAATGAATATGATGATTGAGTAATGGCTGATTTTTGTCGTTTCTATTGTATAGAAACGAGTAATTACCTGATACTTTAACTTATGGAACAGGATACATTGTTCTTCACAATTTTAAATAGCATGTTAGTCGTTATATTTTGTTTACATTACATAAATTTAAATAATTTAAATTGAAGAAAGTTTCACTAATTTTATTTAATAGATTAAACAAAAGTTACAATTTTTCTACATGAGGAAAATATATGTGAAAGTGTTTGGGAACGTTCAATTTAGCAATATCATATATATATTTGACTTTCGTGCAATTGATTCGTGTCTCATCTCTTGTAAAGTTATTGGTTAACCTTCGAAGACGATGATAATTAATATGAAGGCTAATGTAATTTGATAGACATGTTTTGGTATGAACTAGAAATTGTTCAATGTAATCATCATGAGCAAATAAGAGACTGAGTATAGTAAGATGAGGATAGTCAATGACTGGCAAACTGCTATAGTTTTCGTTTAATTGTTGACATTGTTTGTGATTTTGTGGTGACCGATTGTCTATAATTAATGTTTTAAGAAATGGAAATGCTTGAGCGATTCGAATGAAAAATTCGTATTCAAAAGGACGTTTGTCAATTAGTGACACTTTGTGAACAAATTTGAATAATCCACCTGGAAAACTATTTGTAAGTCGATATAAACAATTCATTGAATACGGATGCGAATAGATATGACACTGACCAAGTTTTTGATTTGGAAAATAATCCATATAAGAAATAATTTGATAATCTTCAAGACCTTTAAATGTATGTTGAATGTCATCATTGGATGATAAATGATCTAAATTATTAAGATGTATATTTGAATGAATACTAAAGACGAATTTATTTAATTTTGGCATATGACTGATAATATCATTTTTCAAATTATTTCCATCGATAAATGACTTATGACTGGTGCTGCGACCGATGGAAAGATTCAAGATCAGTTCTTCTAGGTTCGACATTCGATGTAGTAAAGGTACAATCAATTCTTCATAAAACATTATATCTAAACCAGAAATCATTGAAAAACATTTCAAATGGATTAATTCTGGCTGAAAAAAAAAGAATAGTAAAAATTCACTCGTTTCCTTACACTAAATAATCTACCTTGTTAATAATCGTTGATGATGAAGGCGTAAAATAATGAACATTAACATAAAAGGTATGAAGTTGTTTGAAACGACCGTCAAGCAAATAAAGACAGTCAGTAAAGTCATCAACATTGATATGCAATTCCATTAAACTTGAAGAAAAGAATCTTGTAGCTTCTCTTGATTCGAACGATAATCGTTCAATACAATCAATATAAAAATCAGAATATGGATAAAATTTCAAACATATTAAATTGCTGAACATAGTCGAGACACGAGTACACACTATATTCATTGTATCTGATGTTGATGGTATCATTTTATTTTCAGCGATTGTAATAGTCAGTGTCGTAATATGATTTTTGAAGATGCGATCTAAATGAGTGTCCTCTAAACATATAAAATGAAAAAAAAATTGCACCCTTTTCTTTTCAAATCTAAGCTTGAAAATTCGTTACTCTTGATGAAGGTCTTTATACTATCTTAATAGTATTAGATCTCTTGATATTTATCTCACTCCTATCTATAACTAAATTTAAAAATCATTTGGAATAAATAATGCGCCATGATTCACTCAACTATATAAAGAATGCTATGTGATCTATCTTCATTTAAAGTAAACTGTTTGACGAATAAATCAGTCGAAATGAAACAACTTACCACCAAACAATCGTACAGCTGTTTCACGTTCAATATTAAAAAGAGAGAGTACTCGTAAATTAGGGTAGTCAGCAGCAAGAAGAACACGTTCCACACACAATGGTTCGAGAGTGAGCCACTTGATTTTACAATGAATTCTAGGTAATATCACTGAACAAAAGCAATTAAGCATTGAATTATCCAATGAATTAATAAAACCATTCGACAAACGTGTCATAAATGTTAAATGCTCAGTAAAGAGAGGATCACTTGCGATTTTATCAAGTCGCGTGTTAACGCCTATTAGAGAATAAAGTACTTCAATATTGATCAATTTAGTCAAGATCAACAGAAGCATTTCATCGGGTATATCTGTCAATTTGACGTGTGATAAATGTTCCATGTTCATCTGCATGTATCAATTCTTTTTTAACAATTATTTATATATTCTCTTGCTCTACGTCATTCGCTGCCGTCAGCAAGAAGAAGGGGTCATCTATTTCTATATAGTCTAAACCAAGAATGAATGAGTGAATAACTGACGCTTTTTTCTCATTCATTTACTCGACAATTCTAACATTTACCTTATCTTTATTCTCTCTACTGAAAGAAGAGTAATGGGCTGCGCAGCTACCAAAAATGAGCTCGTTCGTTTGTGTTCGTTCGACAGAACGAAAAAAAACATATACAGGGTGTTCCAAAAGTCCGGACCAATTAGAATATTGAATATCTCCACCGCTCTTTCATCAAATGAGCTAATTTTTGCCNTCTTATCGCTCGTTTCTATTTTCAATGGATTGAAACAAAAAAAGTCACTGCAATAAGAAAATGAATATGAATAGAACAAAACAAACATCGGTAAGAACAAAATGGAAGAAGGTATATGAAATGTATTCCCATATCCATAAATCTTCACTGACGAGAATATGGATTCACACGATTTGACGATACAAAAGTAAGAAGAAAAAGAAAAAAATTAAAGAAATGCTAATATGAAGAGAGACATAAGAGAAATGAAATAGCTGAATAAAATGAAAACAATAATCGATAGTGTAATATAGCATGATGATAGTAAGGAAGCATATCATGTTTATAGACAGAAATGCATAAGTGAATTAGAATTTAAGAGGTTGTGAAGATGATTCAGTAGAAATAGACTGAATCAAAACAGAAGACCGGAAATAATGAGATGGTGATGACGAAAATTCATGTAATTCGTGCAGTTGAGAGGTGTGTTACATAAAGGCATGCAACGGTGACGGTGAATCACCGCTTCATCATCCCCGTTTCACCAATTCTTACCGGTATCGTAGATTTCTCAATATTCAATGTGCATGACAGACAATGCTTCCATTGGGTCAGACCAAGAATTCGGTTGGCAACTCGTAGGAACGTAGAAGGATCAATTGTTATACCTTGAGAAAGAACTGTAAATTGATAATAGTTATCACGTGCTGGAAATGCTATTGTAAGACAGCCTTGAGGTCCAAGTAGAATTTGGGCGCTCTCATTTTTAATGTTAAGCTTTATGAAATGTGATGCTTGGGAGAGTTAAATGGAAAATATTATCAATAGGAGACAATGAAAAAATGAATCTTTTAAAATAATATCATTTAATCTTTGATATTCAACACAGAATCGAATACTACCATCTTTCTTACTTACCAAGATAACGGGTGAGCACCAAGACGATGCCGATGGTTCGATTCGATATTGTTCTTATATTTTATTGATGCCATCAGCGATTGCTTGTTAGTTTGTGGTGATCATATGTAAGGTGAAGTGAAAATAGGTGGATCATTACCAATTTCAATTGCATTATTAAGAGAGATGTTGACTTTTGATGGTTCGTGAATGTCAAATAATTGATTTTATTTTCCAAAGTATGTCTTGGATCTTTTTTTCTTTTTGTGATAACACCGATATGTCTAGTTAAGGTTGTGATCTAGTATCGGAGTTCAGATGGATAACATTTTCCGTGAACATGACGATAAAGATTTTTTTTTTGATAGAAACCTCTTATGGCAAACATTGCATTGATGTGATAGATTGAAAGAAGAATGGGGCGCAATAGACAATTAGTGAAGTACCAAAGTAGGATGTTGTCATGATTCTATTGTACAGTTGATTAGTGAAGAAGAAATGGTACTAAAGCAAGTATTTGAAGATAAAATATATGGATGGTCTGTTGTGTTAAGAATCGTTAATTGTGTCCGATAGTTTTTTTACCCAAAATAAAGCATTTGGAAGTAAAATCGATTTTTGATGAAATTGAAATCCATTTCAATCGAAGAAGTAGGGGAAGGACCTACTTCAGAAGATATAGGCGTACAAAAGAAATTAGTTTTTTTAATAAGATTGAGTGGAGGTCGAGCTCGACCGTATATGATTATATCGTGTGATAATAAGTCACCAAATTTGGTGTTACTTCGCAAGCATCTTTCTTGTTGTTGAGAAGTCAGTATTGTGAAGAATTTAATGAAACAAAAGTGTATAATCAGCAAGATAACGAACAAATGTAGTAAATTAAAATGGTACGGTGTAATAAGTGTCCTATAGGGTTAAAAATAACAAAGAGAGGCCACATCACGGCATCAAAATATCAGAGGCCCCTTTTATTCCTTTTTTATGTTCGTTTTTATTTTTAACTAATTGGAACGAAAAAAAGACATTGTGATAAGAAAAAGAATCAAAGAATGTGAATAGAATAAACCAGACATCGATAAGAATGTAATGAGCGGAGGCTTATGAAGTGTATGCCTGTAACACTGTTATAGTTGATAGATTACATCTGCAGTATAGTCTACAACTATAACAATTAACAAAATATTCACTCTCTCTCTCTCTCTCTTGCTTT